TTGTGACAAAATATACCTAACATAAAATGTAAACACTTTAACCATTCCCAAGAATGCAGTTCTCTGGCATTGTTCTGCAGCCATCTCCTTCATCCATCTGTAGAACTTTTTCAACTCTCCAAACTGAAACTCTATACCTGTTAAACACTAACTTTCCATTCTCCTCTCCCCAAGCCTCTGGTGACCACTAACCTGCTTTCTGTCTCTATGAATTTGCTCTCAGTGGAATCAGACACTATTTCTCCTTTTGTGGCTGGTGGATTTCACTTAGCATAATGTCTTCTGGTCCATTCACATTGTGTGTGTCCGAATTTCCTTCCTCTTTAAGGCTAAATAACATTCCATTGGGTGAATAGACCACGTTTTGTTTATCCGTTTGTCCATTGATGGACACTTCGTTGGCTTCCATCTTTTGACTGTTACGAATAATGCTGTTATGAACAGGGGTATACAAATACCTATTCGAGGCCCTGCTTTCAATCCTTGGGGTATATACCAAGAGGTTTAATTGCAGGATTATGTGGGGGCTTCTGGGTAGTGCAGTCAGTTAGGCATCTGACTCTTGGTTTTGGCTCAGGTTTTGATCCTCAGGGTCATGAGATCAGGCCCCTCTTGGGGCTCCACGCGCAGAGCGGTGTCGGCTTGGGACTCCCTCTGCCCTTCCGCCTGCATGGTCTTTCTCTCTCAAATAAATAAATCTTTGAAAAAAAATTGCAGGATTATGTGGTAAATCTTTTATCAGTTTTTTGAGGAACAGCCATACTGTTTTCCACAGTGGCTGGCCATTTTTCATTTCCCCCAGCAGTGCACAAGGGTTCCAGTTTCTCCACATCCTCACCAACTCTTGTCATTTCTGTTTTTGGATAGTAGCCGTCCTAGTGGATATGTAGTGATACCTCATTGTGGTTTTGATTTGTATTTCTTTAATGATTAGTGATGTGGAGCATCTTTTCATGTGCTTTTAGCCATTTGTTTCTCTTTTTTGGAGAAATGTCTACTTGTGTTTTTTGCTTATTTTTTAATTATTTTATTTGCTATTGTTGTGAGTTGCAGGAGTTCTTTACATATTCTGGATATTAATCCCTTATCAGATATATGATTTGCCAATATTTTCTCCCATTCTGTGAGTTACTTTTCACTCTGTTGATATACTCTGTTGATAGTGTCCTTTGATGCACAAAGTTCTAGATTTTGATGCACCTTGTAATTTGTAAGTTGCCTTCATATGTATTCTATTTTAATTTTTTACATCAAAGTAATACATACACATGCTAAAAACAAATTAATGGTACAGAAAGATATAAAAGTAGAGGTGCCTGGGTGCTCAGTTGGTTAAGCATCTGCCTTCAGCTCAGGTCATGATCCCTGGGTCCTGGAATTGGACCTGGAGTCTGAGCAGGGGGTATGCTTCTCCCTTTCCCTCTGCCATTCCCCCTGCTTGTGCTCTCTCGCTTGCTGTCTCTCAAATAAATAAAATCTTTAAAGAAAAAAGAAAAAAAAAAGAAAGATACAAAAGTAAATGTCATCTTCTTTCACTCTGAACTCCTAGTGCTTCTCTCTGCAAGTAACCATTGTTAACAGTTTTTTTGTATATCTTCCAGAGAGTTTTGTATGCATGAAGCAATATATATATGCCCTTTTATAAGGTATATTCAGGGGTGCCTCGCTGGCTCAGTTGGTAGAGCATTGAATTCTTAATCTCGGTTGAGAGTTCAAGCCCCACATTGCGCATGGAGCCTACTTAAAAAAGAATTTAAAAAATAAATAAAAAACAAACAAACACAAAAACGTATATTCAGATGGGTTCATACTTTGTTTTGTTTTTACTAAAACTGCTTCATTCACTATGCTATATTTGAGTAATACCTTATCGAGGGATATTTTGGGTATTTTCAGGTTTTGAATTTATTAACAGTCCTAGAAGGAACACTTTGTTCATATATCATCTTGTACTTCTGCAAAATGTATCTCATGTGTGCCTTTTTAAAGATTTTTTTTTTTGGTGGAGAGACATGTTTGTCCAGGAATACGCTACCAATTTGTGGCCCATCGGGTGCCCCAAGAGTGTCACATCCCCCACACTCTTGACAACTGCAGGACTATGATTAATATAAGCATCCTTACCACTCTGATGTGCAAAAGTCAGTATCTCGGCATTTTAGTCTGAATCTCTTTGAATACTAAACAGGTTGACTATAAAATGAGCTTATTTTCCTTTCAGAAACCCCTGAATGTGACAGTGATCCGCAGAGGGGAGAAACACCAGCTTAGACTTGTCCCAACCCGCTGGGCAGGAAAAGGACTGCTGGGGTAAAGTATCATTTCTGCTCACTGACAACTCCCTGTCAGTTGTCACTTGAGTGTGTGTCAGCCCTAAAGCTCTGGGGAGGAGGTGGGGGGGGGGCACTGGGAAATGAGGGTGTTCCCCAGATTACCTGTAGAAACTCCTGATAAGCACCTGCAGCAGGAATGAGATTGCAGGTATGGAGGCAGAGGGAGCCCCGGTCACTCTGGTTCTTTCAATAACTGGGCATTTGCTTTAAAAGAATTAAAAGAATGCAGGTGAAACACTCAGAGGGCTCACTTTCTGGTCTTCTGAATGGAGCCACCAAATTTATGTTGTTCCTTTTCTTTTTTTCTTCCAGCTGCAACATTATTCCTTTGCAAAGATGATTGTCCCTGGGGAACAGTAATAGGAAAACATCTTCCCTTGTCCTGGATGTGGGTCTGGTGGGAATTTCTTCCTTCTCTTCTGTCCCCGAAGCTTAAGGATCTGGAAGAGGCTGGAAACCTGAACTTCTGGGTGAAGGAAATGCTGTGGCCTCCCAGTGTAATCTCTTGGGATTAAGGCATTGTTAACTTGATGTGTGCTTGGCATCTTTTGCAAATTAGGCCATGGCCCTAAATGGGAGTCCTCTGGATTGTGGGCCAGTGGGCGGGAGTTATTCTGGTAGGTGCTGATAGGACTTTATTCTTTTAGGATTTCTTTCCCCAAATAAACACAGGTTTCAGTGCTGATATGACCATGTTATCACCCCAACTGGATTTCTTTCTTTCTTTTTTTTTTTAATTTTTTACTTAAATTTAGTTAACATGTAGTGCCAACTGAATTTCTTATGAACCTCTCAAACCAAAACTCAGACAGGAATTAGAACATTCTTACAGAAAGTTGGACAGGGGTGCCTAGCTTGCTCAGTCAGTGGAGCATACAACTCTTGATTTCGAGTTGTAGGTTCAAGCCCCATGTTGGGTGTAGAGCTTATTAAAAAAAAAAAAAAGTTGGACAGAACAAGCATCAAACTTTAGTGAATGGCGTTTGCACCATCTGCATTTGCATTGTGTCATTGCTGCTCTGGATACAGAAATTATATCCTCTGGGGCCTCAACTGCTCCCTTGAAGAATAGGGAAAACCAGCAAGCTCCCCGGGTAGCTCACTGCAGTGTCCGCTTCCTCTTCTGTAAACCACTAGAGGGAAGCAAGCTCCGTTTGTTTCTGGAATAAAAAGCCTTGCAAATTACCTTCTAAATTGATTTTTTATAATTGAACCTCCTCATCATTCCCTCAGATCAACAGAAGTTTGTAAACTGCCAAGGTGTGCTTGATCGCTGATGGCAACCAGCAGTGTGTGCAGATCTGACTTCTTGAAAATGCTGATTCCTTCTTCCTTTTATTTTCTCTTTCACATGGCAACATGGGTTTCAGTGATTTTTAGTGACCCTGTGTTTTACTTTCTTCACCTTATCCCAGTGTTTATTTCCCCATTTCTTGCACACCGCTTTCTGTCTCAGAGGTGGTGTGGCCCATTCTGCTGAGGCATGCCTGGGTTCCTTGGGAATGGATTTGCTTGGGTTGGATACAGAAACCAGCTTGCCCTGACAGGAGTCAGCACTGGGGCGTGCTTTTCCAGCCATGGATTCTCATGCTCAGCTGGAAAACCTTCCTGTTGAGTGTGTTCCCCAAAAGTTACATCCACATGCACCCCCCCCTTGTAGCCACAGACATGCCGTGCTCACCAGCATTTGCTGTTTAAATTGTGTGTGCTGATTCCAAGTGTTTTCCAATCTCTTTTTATAAGCCTTAGATTATAATAAACACAGCTTGTACCATCCAGTTTGTTCCTTTTTTTGAGATGTATGCTTATTAATCAACCGGCGTTGGGGCTTGGAGGTGGGGGGGGGGCGGGAAGAATCATTGACATTCTCCTAAAATGAGAGCACCAGAGTTTTCCGCGTCAGTGCCTTTGGCTGGCTTCCTGCAGGTCTCCCTTTAGAAACCTCGGGATGGTGTGTGAGATTGTAGCTGAGAGTCATTTTGAAATGATCCTAATAGGTTGAACCAAGCTGGTTTTGCAGACACATTTTGTGATAAGAGCAAGATCGTGTAGCCTACATAGTGTCATCCGAGCTAGCTAAAATACCGCGCCCAACATGGAGTGCCTTTGAGAAAGGGCTGCGTCTGAGAGACCGGCAAATTTAGTTTGCTTTTGGCAAAGAGAATTTTACCAAACAGCTCGTACTTCGCGTCGTCAGGCCTTCGGAAAGTCACAACTGCAGGTAGCCGGCGCTGCGGCTTCTGCGGCTTCTCCGGCTTCTCCGGCTTCGGCGGCGCCTTGGGAAGAAGTTGGGGGAGGGAGGCTACCTTGGCCGCGGGGGCCGCAGCCGCGCCTCTCCCCGGGGACCGCCAGGGGGCGTGCCGGCCCGCCCGCGGCAGAGCCTCGGGCACGTGACCACCGGCCGGCCCTCCCGCTTTACGGCCGGTCGCCGTGGCGGCGGTTACCTAGGGGACGGGGCTTGGGTGGCAACCGTAGCTATAGGGAGCGCGTGAAGGAGAAAGCGGCGGCCGCTGGAGGCTGCGGAGGTGACCGAGGGGTCCAGGCGGCGGGAGGGCCTGGCCTTTGAGGCCGTCGGAGGGCGCGCTCTGTGAGTCGGGGGCCGGGGCCCTGGCGTAGGGGGGCCTGGTGCCCCGCGGGGTGGGGGGCGCTCGCCGCACCTGGGCGGGGGCCCGGGGCGGCCTCAGAGAGACCCGAGCTGGAGGAAGGAGCCGCGCCTGGGCGTTGTGTCCCCCCCCCCCACAGCCCCCCCCCCCTTTCCTCCCTTCCCCTGGACCCCCCGCATCAAGATGCGCCCGCGAAGTTTGCAGTCCGAGCAGGCCCCGTGCTCAGGGCCCCGGGCTCGGAATCGTAGCAATGCTTTTCCAGCCGGAGGAAGCGAGCGTTAGAGAGGTCTGCCTCTTCCCAGCCGTGTGATCTGATTAAGTCCCTTCAACTCCCAGAGCCTCAAACTCAAGTTTGTCGGAAGAAATAAATGCGAGACTGTGTTAGAAGTCTGTTAAACTTTGTAAACGATTGCTGCCTTTCTCAAGCCCTCTGCGGCAGCTGCGTTGAGCATTTTACGTGTCATCTCAACCCCAGAGTTTAGGGTTCTCATTTTTATTCTGCCTGTGAGCGAATTTGGACTCTGAGGGGGTACAGTGACTTGCCCAAGGTCACAGAGCAAGTGGGTGGTGGAACCAGGATTCAGTGCTAGGAGAGGCCGACTGCAAAGCCCATGCTTTTAACCACTAAGCCACTGCTTCTGCCCTTATTTACAGTGTTAGAATTGTTGTTAATGCCTGGGTTGTCAGTTTGCTGCCTGTGGGAATATGAATATACATAAAGTGAGTTACAATGCTCTAAAGTTATTCCTAGAAAGATGAGAGGCCCCGGCATCAATATGCTTTAGATTTGGGACAGGCTTTCCCAGAAGTATGGGATTCCTTTCATTCCTGTGGAAAGGAATCGGAGCTGGTATTGCACACTTCATCAATAGGTTAGTGCACCAGGAAATTAAAATGGGAAACCGAGGGAACTACTGATTGTTATGGTCAAAATTTCTCTAAAGGAAACTCCACAAAGAAGAATGTCAGATGCAGGGGAGTCCCCACTAGAAGAAGCAGAAGAAGATGGAGAAACAGAAATGGAAGAAGAGTATAACCAATATTACAGAGAGGTGGAAAGTGTGCAACAGGAATTAAAAGAAGATGACATATTAGTACGGAAAGAGCCTCAGCAGGAGGGGGAGCAAGAGGAGGAGGAAGAGGAAGGAGAGGAGGAAGGGAGAGAGGAAGAGGAAGAGAAGGAAGGAGTGGAGGAGAAAGGGGAGGAGGGGGAGGAAGGGGAAAAGGAGGTGGGGGACGAAGAAAGGGAGGAGGGGAGGAGGGGAGGGAAAAGGGAGGAGGGGGAGGAAAGGGAGGAAGAAGGGGAAGAGGGGGAGGAAGGGGAAGAAGGGGAGGACGGGGAGGAAGGGGAAGCGGAGGAGGAGGATAGAGTGGAGGAAGAGGAGCCAGGGGAGGAGGGGGGAGGAGTAGAGGAGAAAGAGAAGAAAGGACAAGAGGGGGAGGAGGAGGAATGGGAGAAGGAGGAAGGAGTGGAAGAAAAAGGGGAGGAGGAGGAAGAAGGGGAGGAATGGGAAGAGGAAGACGAAGGGGAGGAGGAGGAAGAGGGGGAAGAATATGGGGGGGAGGAGGAGGCCGTCAGAGAAGAAATAGAGGAAAAGCCTGGAGCAGCCCAGGAGGAGGGGGCTGCGGGACAGGAAGAAACCACAGTGAAGCCTCCAGAAGTCACCAAGTCCATGACCAGTTTGAAGAGACTTACATTGACTGATTCCCAGTCAGTCATGTCAGGAACTTCCCTAGTAAGTAGTAATTTTAAGTCATTCATTCATTCATTCATTCATTTATTCAGAATCATTGAATGCTTACCATATGCCAGGCTATGGGGATAATACAAATAAGATACAATCCATTCACTTAAGGAGCTCTAGGGTGTGTAGGGAGGCAGACTGATACATGAACACCATAAAACAATATGCTAAGTGCAGTGATTGAGAGATGCATGGAAGATATTTAAAAAACAAAAAACAAGGACTTAGCCCAACTAGGAGGATGGTCAAGGAAAGCTTCCTGGAGGAGGTGTGCAGCGGAGCTGACATAAAGAGCTCCTAGGGGTTAGTTAGAGTGTGCTTGTCTAAGAACAGAGTCAGCGTGATCGTAATAATGTAGGCCCGACTCAGCTGTGGTACAAGGAGAAGTGACTCTGTGACTCGTCTATCCTTGGAGACAACCAGTGCCACTTAGAAGAATGGTTTTGCTGTGTGGTTCTGCTAGTAGGCCAAGAATATACCTGGCACACCCACGATTCATGCTATTTAAGTACAAAATGTCCCAGGCTCCTTTTTATTTTTTTTTAATCATTGTTATTTTTTAAGATTTTATTTATTTATTTGACAGAGAGAGAGAGCGAGTGAGAGAGCGCACAAGCAGGGGGAGTGGGAGAGGAAGAAGCGGGCTCCCCACTGAGGAGGGAGCCCAATGTGGGGCTCCATCCCAGGATCCCAGGATCATGACCTGAGCCAAAGGCAGATAACCAACTGAGCCACCCGGGTGCTCCCCAGACTCCTTTTTAAAACACTTCATAGTTTCAATGTGAGGCGAACACTAAGGCTGGCTGAATAGGAACAGAAAGGAAAGTAAAGGAGGGAATGAAGCAGCTACACACTGTATTTGGAATCACAATCGTCTTTTATTTCTTTTTTAAGAGAACCCTTAGCGAGTCAAAGCATTCATTAGAATCAGAGCATTCTGAAACAAATGAGCTTTTAAGAGACTTGAGCTCAGAACTAAGATTTCTTGATTTGGATCAAACCCGTTCTGAGGAACAAGATATTAGTTTCCCTGAAACACAGTCCTCAAGTGAGCTCAGGGAGAAAATCGACCAGATGCCCCAAGATGAATTGGGACGAGAAAGGAGAGAAGAGAAAAGATTATCATACTTAAGTGACGAACAAGAGAAGGAATTCCAGTCCAAAGCAGAGATCCCGGAGAAATCACTGGTGTCTGCCAGCGAGGACATTTTGTTTCAAAAGGATGACCATGCCAACGTGTATCCTTTGGTAAGTGTAACATGCTCTTTAATTTCCTCCAGTGCTTTGAGAGCATTGTGAAATAAGGGAATTTTATGCATATGGGAAAAAAATACCACCAGAAAGATCCCTTTTGAACTAATAATAGACTCGTGTGTTTTAAAGTTCAGTTCAGCACTCTGGGCTGACGTGCGACAGGAGCGCTGCATCTGGGTCCAATAGTGTTGCTCCTCAGGCAGGACATTCCGGACGTGGTTTGTCTGTTGCATAGGGTGTTGTTTCTTGTGGGAGACTCAAGCTCCATCTTCCCCTCTCTTCCCCTTCTCCTTCTCTCTCACTTCCTCCATTCCTTTCCCCTTTCTCTCCTCTCCTCACCTCTTCTGCCTTAGCTGGCTTGATACCTCTTTACAAGCTCCTAAAACCATTACGGGCTCCTAAAACTATCCATTCGGAAATGGACCAGAAAGTGAAAGGTTGGAAAAAGTGAAAGCCACTGAGAAAAGCACCAGGAGGTCCAAAGGAACCTGCCTTTGCTGTCACAACAATATTCCAGGGAGGCACCATCTGCAAGGAATACAAATATTACCATTTACCAAGAGAAGGAAGAGGAGAGTTTTTCCCTTCTTTTTCCATCTGCTCCTGAAAATTGCTTCCTAGGATTCATCTCCTTTTTTTCCCCTGTAGATTCCGCCTTTGGAAGATTTGTAAGTGATTGAATGTACACAAAGTGTTTAATGTAGTTCCTGACACACAGTGAGCACTTGACGAGTGTTCACATCTAGATGATGACGATGAGGATCATGGAAAATGCCTAGTGGGAGATGCAGACAACTGACAGCCTCCTTTCTGTAGATTGGGTTTACTTTGAGCAGTGGAGTTCAAGGTCAAAGTTTGTGCTTGCTCAATCTGAAAGAATAATAATCGCTTCTCAGCCTTTTGGCTAAGATCAAGTGTGAAAGAAAGAATAAGTTTTAGAGCCCATTAAGACTTTGTCTTGTTTAGCCAGCTGACAAGACATCAGGTGATATCACTAATGAGAGCAAGTGACCTCTGTGCCAGGGGTTTGGGTCCCCTGTTAGCTTTGGGCTCACTGCAGAACCCAACTCTTCTAGACCACCTCCTTCTGCAAATTTGTTTAGTTCTTTGAGGACACTTCCTTTTTTTCCCCCATTCCTGTATTGTTTTTTTTTTCTTTATGTTAAAATTAATAGGTGCTCTTTTAAATAATTTTTTTTTTAAGATTTTATTTATTTGCGAGAGAGAGAATGAGAGACCGAGAGCATGAGAGGGAGGAGGGTCAGAGGGAGAAGCAGACTCCCTGCCGAGCAGGGAGCCCGATGCGGGACTCGATCCCGGGACTCCAGGATCATGACCTGAGCCGAAGGCAGTTGCTTAACCAACTGAGCCAGCTGAGCCACCCAGGCACCCCAATAGGTGCTCTTTTAAAAAAAATTTAGGGCACCTGTGTGGCTCAGATGGTTGAGCGTCTGCCTTCTGCTCAGGTCATGGTCCCAGGGTCCTGGGATCGAGTCCCGCATCGGGCTCCCTGCTCCTTGGGAGCCTGCTTCTCCCTCTGCCTCTCTCTCTCTGTCTCTCATGAATAAATAAATAAAATCTTTAAAAAAAAAAAAAAAAAAAAAACTTTAAAGCAGGGGCGCCTGGGTGGCTCAGTTAGTTAAGTGTTTGAGTCTTAATTTCAGCTCAGGTCATGATCTCAGAGTTGTGAGATGGAGCCCCGCATCCGGCTCTGCGCTGGGCATGGAACCTGCTTGGGATTCTCTCTCCCTCTGTCTCTCCCCGCTCTAAAAATAAATAAATAAAAATAAAAAATAAAAAAAAAATTTCAAGCAGATTCCTCTTCTTGCACAGACCACACCAAATCCATTTCCCTGAGGTGACTACTGTTTGGTGTAACTGTGTATCTTTCCAGACGTTTTCCTGGGCATCTGCAGACATGTTGTCTGTGCGCTCCTGTGTGCATGCACACACCCCATGACACCTTAGGTTTTGTTTTACCAGTAAGATCTTCTGCATTACCGCAGAATGTCTTTCCACTCACCATGTCTCGGAGGATTTTCTGTATCTGGGCATGTAGGTCCACTTCCTCATTTTAAATTCAACCGGTTCTCTATTATTGATGGCTGTGTGTTACTTCTGATTTGTTCTCACCAGAGGTGCTTCAGGGAGTGTGCTCTTGGCCCTCTCTCTGCCCGCAGCATCCCCCTTTTCCTTTGGGATGTCCTGCCTTATGCCAAAGGCCTGGAATAACTCACCGTGCTCAGGGTAAATGGGGATAACCATAGATACCGTCTCCAGCCCAGAAAACAAGGTATCATGCATTTATGAGGACGACTCTTACGATTGTCAAATGTAGTGCAATCTGGCTTTGACAATAGCGTTTGTGTTCGTGTTTTGGAAGATTGCTTTAAGAGATGGCTGTCTCCATGATCATTCACCATGAATGGTAAAACTAGTGCAAATGCAGTTGATACTGTGTGGTTTCAGTTAATGTGAGTGCTGCTTGAGCAAGGAAGTTCTGTTAATACTGAGTGAATTTGTTACCAAAAATCTCAGATCACTTAGCCATCACTTTAGACACTACCACATTTGACTGATTGGCCTCAGACTGTTTTTTTTTTTAAGTAATCTCTACACCCGGTGTGGGGCTGGAACACTCTGGAGATCAAGAGTCGTAGGCTTTACTGACTGAGCCAGCCACACACCCCTAAATGGACTATGGTTTTGAGCAGTTTAGATTTATAGCAAACGAAACGAAAAGCACAGAGTTCCCATATACTCCCTTGTGCCCCCCCCCCCAGGCCAGGTTCCCCTTTCGTTAATATCTTGCATTAGTGTGGGACATTTGTTACAGTTGATGAGCTCATATTGATCGTTATTATTAACTGAAGTCCATCATCCACCTTAGGGGTCACCCCTCGTGGTGTAACATCCTCTGGGCTTTGACTAAGGTATAACGAGGTGTATCCACCATTGTGGTGTCCTACAGAGTAGTGTCGCTGCGCTCAAATCCCTCATGCCCCACTCTCCATCCCTCCCTCTACCCCCTCTCTCCCCGGCAACCATTGGTTTTTTTATTGTCTTCATAGTTTTGCCTTTTCCAAAATGTCATGTAGTTGGAATCATACAGTGTAAAGTCTTTTTTTGAGACTTGATTTATTTGTCAAAAAGAGAGAGAGAGAAAACACGAGTGGGGGAGGGGCAGAGAGAGAGATAAGCAGACTCCCCGCTGAGCAAGGAGCGGAATGCGGGGCTGTATCCCAGGACCCTGGGATCATGACCTGAGCCGAAGGCCGATGCTTAACCCACTGAGCCACCCAGGTGTCCCCACTGTGAAGTCTTTTTAGGTTAGCTCCTTTCACTTAGCAAAATGCATTTAAGATTTCTCCATGTCTTTTCCTGGCTTGCTAGTTCATTTCTTTTTATTGCTGAATAATACTCCCTTGTATGAATCCAGTTTGTTTATCCATGATTTTTATAAAAGACTTTGAACACAAAAAATATGCATAAGTAAACTACTATTGGATTAAAAGTAGTAGTCAGATTTATAGTACCTCTAATTTTTCATTTCAGAAAATTTTTATTTTGGATTTATTCCTGGCAATATGGAATTTTTAATTATGCTGAGGGAATTTTCTCTATGCTTTATTCTTCCAGGGAAAATGATATATGAGGACCAAATATTCGTGGCTGAATAATTGCCTTTCTTATGAAGTTCCTTAGTGACTATACTGTAACTTGTCCATTCCATATATTTTCATGAAGTAAATTGAATTTCACAATATTAAGTGCTCGCTGTGTCAGGTACTGAGCAGTCTAGGTTCTGAGGAGTGGAAGGATAGGACGTTCTTTCTGTTTCCTGTTGACTTTCTTTTAAAGCAAGGTATAATTCACTTACCATTAAATTCACCCTCTTAAAATTTAAAATTATGGTAAAATACACATAAAGTAAAATTTACCATCTTTCTTTAAAGATTTATTTATTTATTCAAAAGAGAGAGAGAAAGGGAGGGTCGGGAGGGGCAGAGAGAGTCTTCAGCAGCCTATGAGCGGAGCCTGACGTGGGGCTCAGTCCCATGACCCTGAGATCAGGACCTGAGCCAAAGCCAAGAGTTGGTCGCTTATCCAGCTGTGCCATCCAGGTGCCCCTAAAATTTACCATCTTAACCATTTTTTTTAAAGATTTATTTATTTATTTGAGAGAGCGAGAATGAGAGAGAGAGAGAGAGAGAGAGAGAGTACATGAGAGGGGGGAGGGTCAGAGGGAGAAGCAGACTCCCCGCCGAGCAGGGAGCCCGATGCGGGACTCGATCCCGGGACTCCAGGATCATGACCTGAGCCGAAGGCAGTCGCTTAACCGACTGAGCCACCCAGGCACCCCCCATCTTAACCATTTTTAAGTATACAGCGTAGTAGTAAGTACATTTCACACTGTGGTACAACCAATGCCTGGAACTCATCTTGCAAAACTGAAACCCCCTACCCATTGAACAACTAACTCCCTGTTCCCCAGACCAGCCCCTGGCAAGCACCATCTACTTTCTGTCTCTATGGATCTGACTCCTCTAGGGAACATGTAAGTGGAATCCTACCGTATTTGTCTTTTTGTGACTGGTGGATTTCACTTAACACGATGTCTTCAAGGTTCATCCATGTTGTAGAGTGTGTCGGATCGCCCTCCTATGGAAGGCTGCATAATATTCACATTTTGTTTATCCATTCATCCGTCGAGGGACACGTGGGTTGCTTCTGCCTTTTGGCTTCTGTGAAATATGCTGCTGTAAACATGGGCGTACGAATGTCTCTTTGAGACCCTGCTTTCAGTTCTTTGAGCTATATACCCAGACGTGTAATTGCTGCATTATATGGTAATTCTGCTTTCAGTTTTTTGAGAGATCTCCATGGTGTTTTCCACAGCAGCTGCACCATTTCACATTCCCACCAAGAGGGCACAGTGGTTGCAGTTTCTCCACATCCTCGTAAAATCCACCCTTTTAAAGCGTACCATCCGTTGGTTTTTAGCATGTTCACAAGGTTGTGCAACCGTCACCACTGTCTAATCCCAGAACGTTTTCATCCCCCACAAGAGAAGTCCATATCCCGTAGCAGTCACTGCCCACCCACCTTCCCCAGGCCCCCAGCAGCCACTAAGCTACTTTCTGCCTCTATGGATCTGACTGAGCATGCACTGTGCGGTCCTGTGTGTCTGGCCGCTTTCACTCAGCATCGTAGTTTCAAGGGTCATCTGCACCATAGCGCGCAGTTGAGGACATTCGTGAGGTGATTTCTCCTTTTTGGACTGATGATGTGAAATCCTTCTCCTCCAGAGCCTGTGCCAAGGGTGCCTGGCATCACAGTTCTGGGCTCGGCACACTTAGTGTCTTGCTGGTTTTGTCTTTGTCTTCCAGACCATGACTTGGTCTTTCGGATGGAACAGTTCTCTTCCTGTTTACTATATTCGAGACGAAAACCAGAGAGTTCTTCTGTATGTCTGTGCTCACACTGCGGTCATCTACAATGTTTTCAAGAATACTCAGCACCATCTTCAGGTATGCAAGTTTTTGTTGTTGCTTTTTAAGATTTTATTTATTTATTTGAGAGAGCGAATGAGAGAGAGCATAAGGGAGAAACAGACTTCCCTGCTGAGCAGGGAGCCCAATGTGGGGGATCCATCACAGGACCCTGGGATCATGACCCGAGCTGAAGACAGATGCTTAACCGACTGAGCCACCCGGGCGCCCCTGCAAGTTGTTGTTGTTGTTGTTGTTTTTAATTACAAGTAAAAGAGGTTGTTTTTCACTAGAATATAGCATTTTATCTTTTATTCCAAGGGCTGACTTCATTATGTCACTATCATGTTTTCCTACCTCTCTTCTGAACTATAGCAAGTCTTTTTTTTTTTTTTTTAAGATTTTATTTATTTATTTGAGAGAGAGAGAGTACAAGCAAGGGGAGGGACAGAGGGAGAGGGAGAAGCAGAAGCAGACTTCCCACTGAGCAGGGAGCCAGGGATCATGACCTCAGCCAAAGGCTTAACCAACTGAGTCACCCAGGTGCCCCTGAACTATAGCAAGTCTTGTCTTTAGAAACACATTTTATTGTTCATTGTCTCTGTTTCTAATCAGAATCCATTTACAAACAGCAATTGATTTTAATTTTATAGCAACAAGAATTTAAGACATCTGTATTTTTACATTTCCGTAAAACCGTGGTCAGGACAGATCATGTTGTCTCCACAGTGCCATGGGGTACACAAAAGGCTTCAGCAGGGATTTGGACCTACTTAACACTTAGAGGGCTTTGCAGGTTTAAAAGGGCTTTGATCCTCATAGTCATGCTGAGGAGTGGGTGTTAATATCCCCATTTTACAGAAGAAAAGACTGAGGCTCAGAGCGGTTTAACTGACTTGCCCAAGGCGGCACTGGTGCCTGGTGAAGCCAGGTCTTGAATGTAGGTCCTCTGACGTGGAAGCGTCGAGTAGGATGGTTGTTGTCCTTATGCCTTCCTCCCTTGAGCATCTTCATGTATTTCCAGTGCCCTCTGTGCCTCCCTGGTGTCCTACATGCCCTCCCCACACAATTACGAATTATAATAAGCACTCCAAAGGCAATGTGGACTGCTGCAGGAGAGAGATCAAGAGTGAGAGATGGCCGTCTGACTGGGTGGGCTGGCAATGCAAACGTGCCCTTTGTGCCGAGATCTGACTGACTGAGGAGAATGAACTAGCCAGGGGCAGTCTGGGGAGGAGCATTCCAGACCCAGAGAGCTCCAGGTCTGCAGGCCTGCCCACGGGGCCCAGAAAGGAGGCCAGTATGGCTGACTCGGAGTGAGCAAGGGGAGATGAAGAAGGGAGGAAACGGGCTATTTCCTGGCAGGGACCACTACCATCTTGTTTGTGTTTCCAGAAGGTTCCTGAGTTACTGGGCGAGGATTGTCGGGGGATGGGAAGGAAAGCAGAGAGACCAGTGAAGAGGCTTTTGCTCCGGAGCTGCTCAGTGACCTGATGTGGACGCTGTTTTAGGGAGATGAGGCCAGCAGGGCTTCAAGGGGGCTGGCGGTTGGGCAGAACCCCAACATTTATTTTCAAGCTGGGTTCAGAGTTGGGCACATGCCTAGACCTGTAGGGAGCCCCTGTCCTCGTGGGGAGTGTGACTTGTCCTTCGGGGTTTTGAGGGAGAGAAAATCTGAAAACCACTGGCTATGGAGAAAACCACTGGCCAGGGAAAGGCCGTAGGAGTGGAATTTTCAGCCAGGTGAACCTGGAAAGGGAGCTTAGTTCTCTCTTTGGGGTCCCAGCCTCTCCTACTGTCCTTGATGTTTCAAAGCATTTTCTGTGCATTTCTGCAGGGCCACCCTAATGTGATCTCCTGCCTCTGCATCAGTGAAGACAGGCGGTGGATTGCCACGGCTGACAAAGGGCCCAACTGCCTGATAATTATATGGGACTCCTTCACAGGGTAGGCTTGGTGCAGTCCTGCTTTCTCCTACCTAGCATAGTGATCTGCAACAAATGAGTAATGCCGGTCTGGGCATGCAGAAGCCAGTGACGGGATGCCGGGTGAGGGTAAAGCAGCCTGGGGAGGCTGGCCATCTTGTTGCCTTGAGGCCTGATCAAGTGACATTACCTTGGTGAATTTCCCATTTACAGTTCTTGGCTCCTTAGGCCCAGAGACTTGGTTTGGCAGTGTCCCAGAGTAGATGGGACTGAGGAAGGTTAACTCACACTAACCCAGCTTGGAGGCCCGGAGAAGTGAAGTGACTTTCCCCACCTACAAAAAAGGAGGCTAATCATACCCACTGTTTTAGTTTCCTTGGGCTGCCCTAAGATATTATCACACACCAAGGGGCTTAAAATAACAGTGAGTTATTCCCTCACAGTTCACGAGGCTGGAAGTCTGAAATCACGTGCCCAAAGGGGTGGTTTCTTCTGGGGCTCTGAGGGACAACCTGCTCCAGGCCCCTCTCCCAGCTGCTGGTGGTGGCTGGCGGTCCTTGGCGTTCCTTGGCTGGTAGACTAGTCACTCTAGTCTCTGCCTCTGTCTTCACATGGCATTCTCACCTGTGTGTCTCTTTGTGTCTTCTCTGAGTTCAGCAGCCATTGGATTTAGGATCCATCCTAATCCAGCATGACCTCATCTGAACTAACTACACCGGCAAAGATCCTATTCCCATATAACGTTCACATTCTGAGGCTCTGGGTGGACATGACTTTTGAGGGGGCCCTCAGCGCATTACACTCACCTTACAGGACTGTCATGAAGACCAGGAGAGCACACAGTACATGGCCTGTGATAGATGCTCATACGTGAGTTTTCTTAGTTCCCGGTCCTAGAGGCAGAGTGCAGTGTTAGGTTAACTGATAAGATTGTAAGGCCCTGGTTGGGTTGTGGGGGGGTGGGGTTACATGGGGGGTGGATGAGTCCAGTTGGGCATGATTGGGAAGTTGTGTTTAATGCTCTCGAGTGTTCTGGAAAGTTATGTTGGATGTTCTAAGATACAGGTCCCCCAGGTGACTGGCGACCTCCTGGGGCCATGTTACCTAATCCTGGTCCTTATCTTCCTGGACATCTTGGCAGCATTTGACACTCTTCATTTCTTGGCTTCTCTGATACCATGTCCCCTTGGTTTTCATCCACCTTCTGAGACTCTGTTTCCTCTGGCCTGAGGTGGTGAGGATTCAGTTGGTACTGTCCTCCAGCCAGGAGGGAACGGACCTGGGGTTTGAAACCATACCATCTTCATCTCCATAACCACCTGATATTTCCTCTTTTCTCGGATGAGGAAGCTGCTGGAGAACATTCCACCTGCATGTCCCATGGGTATCTCCTGCTAAAATGTCCCAAAGCCCTGTTGCATCTCCTCCCAGATGACTTCTGAACCCACCCCCACTGCCCCTGCCCCACCTGGTGTCATCGGGGCTCTCACATGCCTGGCTTCCTTCTCTGTAGCTTCACTCTGAAGCCCAGCCTCCAGAATGGGGATTTTGTTTTATTGTAGTAGAATATCCATAACATAAAATTGGCCATCTTCACAATTAAAAAAAAAGATATATATATTTATTTATTTAAGAGCAAGAGAGCGTGAGTAGGGAGATGGGCAGAGGGAAAGGGAGGGAGAATCCTCAAGCAGACTCCTCGCTGAGTACAGAGCCCGATGCTGGGCTCAATCCCAGGACCCTTGAGATCATGACCTGCACCGAAACCAAGAGCCAGCTGCTTTACTGACTGAGCCACCCAGGTGCCCCATCTTCACGATTTTTAAACATAATTCAGTGGCATTAGTTACATTCACAATGTTGTGCAACCATCGGCACTATTTCCAGAACATTTTCATCACCCCAAACAGAAACTCTGTGCCAGTGAGCTCCCCACTCTCCCTCCCCTCAGCCCCTCATCTATTTTCTGTCTCTCCGGGTTTGCCTGTTGTCATTTTATGTCCGTAAATCATATGCGGCTTTTTGTGTCTGGTTTTTCTCTCAGCATAATGTTTTCAGAGTTCTCCTGTGTTGTAGCATATGAATCAGTTCTTCCTTTCTTTTCAAGATTCTAGTGCATGGATATACCAATTTTGCTTATCTACTTATCTGTTGATTTTTAATAATCTCTTAATTGAAAGCTAATGTCTCCTTTGGCCACCATCTCCAATCTTTGTCTTCTTCCTAGAGGTAGTCAATTTGGTGTGTTTCCTTCCAGAATATTTGCTGTTGTCTTAAATACAGATACGTGAACATCATCATGTAGCATCACGTGGTTTTTCTCCACAGCCTTTTGAGTCTGATCTCCCAAACGCAAAATCTGATTGTGTTGCTTCCCTGCTGAACACCCTTCAGAGGCTGCCTCTTGCCAACCCAGCCTGTGTTAGAGGGAAAATGCATCTTGCATCATAGCCACAGGAACTTGTCCCCCAGAAAGTGAAATTCCCCCTCTGCGTGACTAGCTGTCACCTGTGGCTGTCACATGTTTCCAGCTGCAAGTACTGGGACATCCGACTTACACAGGAGGGAAAGTTGTTACATCCTGTGACCGAGAATCCGCAGGCAGGAAGGGCGGGCTCCTCACGCGTGTCTCTTCTCTGAAGCTGTTGCTGATAGTGCCCCTTCCCCAGGCATGGCTGGCCTCCTAAAAACTGTTTATTCTTTGGTTTTTTCTTGCTTGAAAAGCTGTCTCCCCCACTAGATGCGGGGGGGGGGGGGGGGTTGTGACCCTGGCGGTGATTTTTTCTTTTTAATTACAAAGTGCCTCTGTGGTTAACAATTCAATATGTCCATATAATTTTATGATATAGTAAATGATGACTTTGGGACTCAGAAAAGATTATTTGGTTTTAGAATGAATATTCACTTTATTAAAGTTATAAGAACCATAGTTTTTGCTTAAGCTTTTCATTCAACTTATAAATCTTACTCCTTTTATAAATCTAGCATATTTTTGCAATTGCCTTTAAGGGGGTTTTGATTAATGTTTGGCCCCACTCATAGATTTGATTATTAATTCCTTTTAAACACTTTTAAACTGCACTTAGAAATTGAATATATTTGGTTTTATCTTTAAGGTCTTTAGTAGTCTGATTAAAAAATAAACCCTTCACCCATACTTAAGTAATTCCTGTAAATCTAATAAATTAGACATAACTATGGCAAATCTTACGTTCTCATAAGTATTCTAATATTGTTTATAAACCAGTGTGATTTGAATTTAAAATCACAAGTCTAAATCAACTACAGGCTTTAAATTAGAATCACAAATCTAATCCATCAGAGGCTCTAATACGTTAATTCTCTTAAACATCACCCATTCCTAAACAAAATAAACAAATTCTCTTCCCACCAATACGTTTATAATACAGGCCCAACTGACATCACTGTCTCTATATTTAATTCTGAATATCCACAGGGATAAGATGCTTTTCCCCACTAAGGACATCACTGTGTCATTCACAGCAGTGTTAGGACTGCCTTCCCAAGTGCATCTGGGGGCAACTTCCCAGGGGGATGAGGTCTTCTCAAGCGACAGAGAACCAGCCAGGTCCTCAGCTGGGGCACAGACTTGGTCCCAGCCAGTTGGGGCCCCGAAGTGACCTCTGAGGCCTGTTGATGTTTCCCGTAGCGAGGGCTCCGTAATGAAAAACAGTGGGGAACCACCAGCCCTTGTATGTGGATTAGGACTTCCTACCCCCGGCCCTTCACTGCCAGTGCAGGTCGGGGACTCCCCGCCCCTCACCCCATCGCTCCCATCCTTGCTTCTGCTGTCTCCTGCATCTCTTGGGCTCTCTTAGATACTTAAATATCTAATTTAATTCTGCATGTGACAAGGCTTTGCCTGCTTCTTACGGTCTACAGTCTTGCCAGTGACACAGTACAGAGGTGAATGAGGGAAAAAAAAATGAAAGTCCCTCCTCACCCAAACACGTCTCCAGAGTCACCCTTGTTTAGTTTGGAGTCCCGTCCTCTGGACTCCTCTGTGCACAGAAATGCATGCACTCTCTCTCCCTCACTCAGGATGATGCTACCTACACTGTTTTGCAGTTTGCTTTTTTCACAAAATTTTGGTCACCGTCCCACATCTACTTCATTCTTTTTGAGAATAGCCTAGTTTTTCATTATATGGTTATGTCATGATATTTTTTAACAGTTCCCACATCCATGGATATTTGTGTTGTTTCCAGATTTTTTTCCATTAAAGCAGTGCCACAGTGAACATGAATTTATATCTATCTGTTTACTTTTGCTATTGTTTTTCTGGGAAAATGCTGTGTAAGAGGAATTGTTGGGTCATAGGGTATGTACATTTAAAATTTTAATAGATGCAGCTAAGTTGCTGTCTAGAAAGCTTGGGCTTATTTATATTCCCGCTTAGGTGGGAGGGCGCTTGTTTTCCTGAGAGCTGGGGTATTGTCCCAGGCATCTTTTTTCATATTTCCATCCTTCGTGCCTGGCACAGAATCAGCACTCAATAGTGAGTGATGGCTGACTTCATGAAGAGAACAAATAGCACGTTTGCTTATGCTGAGTTAGTTTTATTTTTTTTTTAATTGAGGTAAAATTCACATAACGTAAAATTCACTATTGTAAAGTATGCAGTTCAATGGCATTTAGCACATTTACAGTGTTGTATTCCTGTATTCCACCTGTATTCCAACTGCTTTTTATTTTTTATTTTTTTTTTAAGATTTTATTTATTTATTTGACACAGAGAGACACAGCGAGAGAGGGAACACAAGCAGGGGGAGTGGGAGAGGGAGAAGCAGGCTCCACGCAGAGCAGGGAGCCCGATGTGGGGCTCGATCCCAGGACCCTGGGATCACGACCTGAGCCGAAGGCAGTCGCTTAACCGACTGAGCCACCCAGGCGCCCCCAACTCCTTTTTAAAAAAAAGATTTTAAAGTAATCTCTATGCCCAGCATGGGGCTCGAACTCACAACCCTGAGATCAGGAGTTGCATGCTCCACCGACTGAGCCAACCAGGCGCCCCTGGTTCCAAAATATTTTCAACCCTCCAAAAGGAAAACCCAAAACCATCAGCTGTCACTCCCATTCCCCTTGGCAGCCACCAATCTGCGTTGTCCCTATGGCTTTCCTAATTCTGGACTTTTCTTATCAATGGACTCATACAACATGTGGTCTTTGTGCCAGTCTTCTCTCACTTCCCATGATGTTTTCGGGGTCCACCCCTGGTACAGCAGGGGTCCGCGCTTCATTCCTTTGTACGGCTGAATCATAGTCCATTGTATGGATGGACCACGTTTGGTTCCTCCATAGCCATTGGGCTTTTGAAGTGAGTCTGTCTGGGAAGCAAGGCAGACCCCCACAATGGGTGTCCCCCTGCCCTGTTCTGCAGCATTCCTGTGCACACGATATTTGACAGCTGCGCAGACGGCAACGGCATCGGGGCCATAGCCATCACCCGGGACGCCAAGTATCTGGCAACCATCTCGGATGCTGAAATCCAGGTATGGGGCCCTTGGAGTCCGCCTCAGCGGGCTGGCCAGCCTGTCGAGTGTGTCCTGGTGAGCAGCTCTGCTCAGGCCACGTGGCATCTGTGATGCTCTCAGGGAACGACCGGACCCCATGGCCCCTTGTCGGGGGCTCTCTCCCTGGGGCTTAGCTCACGGTGCCGTGCTCCGTGAGCCAAAGTTACAGGGTTAGCACGAGAGGTGTAGGGTACTTCAGCAGCCTTCAGGAACCTTCTCATTCTCCTCTATCTGCTGTCACTCACAGAAAGTTTGCATCTGGAGGTGGACTTTAGCAGTGGAAACGCCAGCGTGTACGCTCAACCTTCCTAAAGAGTATGGTGTTCAGGTGAGCTCCTGATGAGTCTGTAAAGATCTGTCTACAGTTACACTGAACCCAGGTCCAAGCCTACTTTTGGTTTTGCTGGAGTTTGGTTATGGTACACTAGAGTTTGTAAAAAACCACTTTCATATCCTTGATCTCATTTTAATCTTGATGATAGTTAGCAACATTTTTTTAAGCATTTGTTATATGCCAGATGCTGCTAAGTTCTTTACATAAGGTATCTCAAGCAATCCATGCAAACATGCTGAGAAGGAGTTATTTAGTAACATCTGTGGAATGCTACTATTAATTACTAGATAATTTGTCTAAAGTCATGGTCCAGCAGCCTTTTCTATTCTAGAAGCATGCCCTTCACTACTCATAATATCCAGAAATTATTAGTCTCAATTTGCTTGAAGTGACTTCCCAAGGACACCCACAAAGTTGACTCTGCTGTTCTGCATCGTCTTACTCATCCTTCCATCCTTCATCCTACGCTTGCTGAGTACCTACTATGCGCCAGACACTGTGGAAAGTACATACCTGGATGCTGGACCTAGAACCCAGTCAGAGGTCTAGGTCTCTGAAAAAATTTCCTCACAGCTTTTGTTTTTTGGTTTTTTTAAAGATTTTATTTATTTATTTGAGAGAGAGAGAATGAGAGACAGAGAGCACAAGAGGGAAGAGGGCAGAGGGAGAAGCAGACCCCCTGCTGAGCAGGGAGCCCGATGTGGGACTCGATCCCGGGACTCCAGGATCATGACCTGAGCCGAAGGCAGTCGCTTAACCAACTGAGCCACCCAGGCACCCTCCTCACAGCTTTTGTAAGCTGAGCTGATACAGTAGCCACCAGCCATAGTGAGTTTTTCTATTGCTGCAAAAAGCCCCTCTGGGATTTTGCTAGAGATTGCATTGAATCTACGGGTTGCTTTGGGTAGTTGTTGTCCTCTTAATGCCCGGGCACAGGCCGTCTTTCCATTTACTTATGTCTTCATGAATTTCCTTCAGCAGGGTAGCTTGCAGTGTACAAATCTTTCACCTAAGATTTATTCCTAGGTATTTTTATGCTATCATAAGTGGATTCGTGTTCTTAATTTCCTTCTTGGATTGTTCATTGCTAGTATATAGAAACTCAACTCATTTTTATGTGATTTTGTGTCATGAAACTTTGCAGAATACATGTGGCTACTTAGATTTAAATCAATTAAAGTGAGATAAAACTACAAATTCATTTCCTCAACATCACTACATTTCAAGTACTCACCAGCCACCCTAGTGGCCGCCATGTTTGACTGAACAGATGAGCGAACGTCTCCGTCACGACGGAACATGCTGTTGGACAGCAGTGCAAGGCTCCAAGTCTGGAAGGGCTCTGCCATCAGCCTGCCTGCGCTCCTGCCCACCCAGCTGAACCGAATCCCTCGATTTGGCCTTGAGTCACAAAGGGCGAGTGAGCGCTCAGCATGGCCTGGCTTTCTAATAGGCTGGCTGTTTCGTTTCTAGAGACAACTGTCTCACCTCCTCCGAGCTCCCCAGCCCTTCCTCTTACTCTCGGCTGATGACCTCTCTCATTTTGCGTTGAGAGAATGGAGGCCATTGGATACAAACACTGGCCTGTTCTCACTCCCAGGCCTACAGCCTGCTTTCAACCTCACCACCATGTCTTGCCCCTCTAAGTGTTGGAGAGGCCAGGGCACGAGATGCCATCCCTCTCACGTGCTCAAGGTCCTCTCCCGCAGTGATCAGCTCTCCCTCTACTGGATGGTTATCCCCTCTGCAGATGCACATGCTTTCGTGTCACCCATTTTTGGAGAACGCCATTGACGGCACATCTCCTTCCAGTTCTTGCTCTCTGCGCCTCTTCATAGTAACACATCTCTGAAGAGCTGTCTATACCCACTTCCTTACTTCATCATCTCTTGCTCTTTTGTGCACAAAATATTTGATCTCTTTGTATTTTCATTGCTTAATAAGGCATACATGTAAAATGTGTACATTTTAAGGAACAAAACAGAATGTACCTGTGTGTTTACTGCCAGGTCAAGAAAGAGCATCACCCAAACCCTAGAAGTCCCTTTGTCCTCCTTCCCCAATCTCATCCCCAACCTTGCTTTCTACAGTTAACCAGTGTCCCAGATTTTGTGTTACATATTCTCTTGCTTTCCTTTATACTTTTCTCTAGCAATGTATGTATCCCTCAGTACTCTTTTTTTTTTTTTTTTTGAGCGCGTGCGCGCGCGAGTGTGTGTGTGTGTGTGTGTGTGTGCATGACCCGGGAGGGGCAGAAAGAGGGAGAGAGAGAATCTCAAGCAGACTCCACACTGCATGCAGAGCCCAACATGGGGCTTGATCTCAGGACTCTGAGATCATGACCTGAGCCCAAATCAAGAGTTGAATACTTAACCAACTGAGCCACCCAGGCGCCACCCCCACCTTTTTTTAAGTAGGCTCCATACCCAACATAGGGCTGGAATTCAAGACCTGCACACTCTACTGACTGAGCAGCCAGGCACCCCTCCATCAGTACTACCCTGTTCTGTTTTACCTGTTTTGTTTGTTACATATTTGGAGTCATAATTGCTTCATTTTCTCCCCGTTGTTTCTGAGATTCATCCATGTTGATTATTGAGCTATAATTCATTAATTTTCACTGCTATAGAGTCTCTCCTTGTTTGAGTATAATACAGCTCATTTATCCTACTGATGATGAACATTTTGGTTCTTTTGATCTGTCTTCCACCCACCCATGGCTCTACCAAATCTGTGTTTATCACGGTTGGTCGGTGGTGTTTCCAAGTCAATGAGCACTATTAAATCCTCAGTAGCACCCCTCCCAGTGGGGGTTCAAGACACCTTTCCTGCTGGCTCACTGACCTTTCCTGGGCTCCTTTGTGGGCTTGTCCTCTTTCTTTCTTTCTTTCTTTCTTTCTTTCTTTCTTTCTTTCTTTCTTTCTTTCTTTCTTTCTTTTTTAAAAGATTTTATTTATTTATTTGACAGAGGGAGAGCACAAGTAGGGGAAGCAGCAGAGGGAGAAGCAGGCTCCCCACTGAGCAGGGAGCCCAATGTGGGGCTCAGTCCCGGGACCCTGGGATCATGACTTGAGCCGAAGGCAGATGCTTAATGACTGAGCCACCTGGGCACCCCGCTTGTCCTCTTTCATTGCACACCTTCTAACTGTTGGCAGGCCTCAGGGTTGAGTTGTGGGAGCTCCTTTTCTTGCTACACCTTCTTCCTGGGTGTTCTCATCCATTCCTATGTCTTTTAAGTACTGTGTACTCTGAAGATGCATTCCAAAATCCTTCCTCCCCTCTCCGTTTCTACTGCCACCACAGCTCCCTGCATGACTACAACATCCTCCCAGCTGATCTGTGTTCACTCTTGTCCCAATCCTACCAGTCTTCCTGCAGCAGTCAGAGTGATAATTCTTAAATAAGCAAAACGGATTATATCACTCTCTTACTTCAAGTTTTTTTTTTTTTTTTAAAGATTTTATTTATTTATTTGAGACAGAGAGAATGAGAGACAGAGAGCATGAGCGGGAGGAGGGTCAGAGGGAGAAGCAGGCTCCCTGCCGAGCAGGGAGCCCGATGCGGGACTTGATCCAGGGACTCCAGGATCATGACCTGAGCCGAAGGCAGTTGCTTAACCAACTGAGCCACCCAGGTGCCCGAGTTTTTTTTTTTTTTTTTTAAGATTTTATTTATTCATCTGAGACACAGAGATACAGAGAGAGAGAGAGAGAGGAGAGAGCCTGAGCAGGGAGAGAGGTAGAGGGAGAAGGAGAAGCAGGCTCCTTGCTGAGCCAGGAGCCCGCTGTGGGACTCGATCCCACAACCCTGGGATCATGACCTGAGCCGAAGGCAGACGCTTAGCCATCTGAGCCATCCAGGCGCTCCTCTTACTGCAAGTCTTTGAGTGACTTTCCATTGTGATGGGAATAAACCTCAACTCCCCCTCCACCCATCTCCCAACATCTACCCTCCTGTTTATTAATGTTTATTAGTTTGCATACCCTAGATTTTTACAGAATTTTACAGAATGGACTCTTTTTCTGGAGGGCTCTGGCTTCTTTCATTCAGTTTAATTTTTGAGATTCATCCATGTATGGAGCAATAGTTTATTCCTTCTTATTATTCTTTATGTGTCCTTTATAATGTTAATGCTGAATAGCCATGCATTGAATGGATATGTCACAATTTCTTTATTCACTGTTAAAAGACATTTGCACTGTTTCCTATTTGTGGCTGTTGAAAACAAAGGTGCATGAAATTTCATGCACAAGTCTTTGTAGGGATATATGCTTTCATTTCTCTTGGTAATTATCTATGTTTTTGAAGGCTGTTTTCCCTAACTATAGGATTGTAGGTTGGTAGTTCTCTTATTTCAGTACTTTGAAGATGTTATTCCATTTTCTTCAGACTTAACACCATTTCTGTTGAGAAGTCAACTGTCAATTTTTTTTTTTTTTTTAAGATTTTATTTATTTATTTGACAGAGAGAGACACAGAGAGAGAGGGAACACAAGCAGGGGGAGTGGGAGAGGGAGAAGCAGACCTCCCGCAGAGCGGGGAGCCTGATGTGGGGCTCAATCCCAGGACTCTGGGATCATGACCTGAGCCGAAGGCAGACGCTTAACGACTGAGCCTCCCAGGCACCCCAGCTGTCGATCTTATTGTTCCCTCTTTTGGAAGTTGTGTGTCTTCCCCCTCCTGCTCCATTCTGGCTGCTTTTAAGATTTTCTGCTGGTTGTCAGCAGTTTTTGATGACTCTATGTATATGGATATCTTGTTGATTTAAAAAAAATCCAAAACTAGGTGCTGGCTGGCTGAGTCAGTGGAGCATGCAACTCTTGATCTTGGGTCATGAGTTTGAGGCCCACGTTGGGCATAGAGATTACTTACAAAAAAGGATAAATAAATAAAAATTAAAATCTAAAAAAAAAATACCCAAAACACATCTTTTGGGGTTCTTTGAACTTGGGATGTCTTATTTTTCCTCAGTTTTGCAAAATTCTCCACCACTGCTTCTTTAAACATTACTTTTATCACCTTTTTAAAATCTTTCCTCACCTTCTGGAGCTCCAATTATACGTACATTAGACCCATCTTGTCCTATATGTCTCTTATTGTCATGTCTATATTTTCTGTTCTTTTGTGTCTTTATCCTTCAGTCTGGATATTTTCTCCTATAATTTATCTTCCCTTCGTACTGACTAATTATTTCTTTGGCTATATTTAATTTTCTATTAAATCCTATTTTGAGTTTTTTTTAATAATTTTTTTCAGATCTAGAATTTCCATTTAATTCTTTTTAAAAATAGAGTTCTTTGCTGAGATTACCCATCTTGCCCTCTACTTTCTTGCACATCGTGACCACAGTTATTGTCAAGTCTGTGTGTCAATACTATACCTGCATCTCCTGCAGATGATTGCTTCCCTCCTCAGTTGTCAGTCATTTAGATATGTCTCTTTCATATGCCTGGTTATGTTTTCATCGAATGCCCAATGTCGTACTTTAAAAAGTATAGGAATAATTTGAGGCTCAGGATGATAACTTCCTCCGAGGAAGACTTACTTTTGCTTCTTGCTGGGCATCTGGCAAAGTTAATCAGAGATTAACTTTGATTAATTGAATCATAGATTGCAGTGATTTGCGACTGATTTCCAGCCTTCGTGAGATCTTGTCCATGCACTTGCTTCCATCTGATCTTCCCCACCCCTTCCCACCCCCCAGGCCTTTGAGCTGTCCTGAAATTACTTCTCAGACACTGGCACTGGTCCTTTACATTCCTGGAGTAGGCAAGGAATAGACGATGGGGTAGAGGTGGCAGAAATGGAACTTAAGACATGTTTCTAGAATCTGTCTCCTGGGGCTGCCCCCTGCAGCCCTTCACGTCAGGCTGCAGCCACCCTGTCCCACCCACATACCCTGGCAGGACACGCACCTGAGTCTCCCCAGGGATCTCCACTTTGTTGTTGCTGTTGTTTAGCTTCTGCATTTTGCAGTTCCTCACTTCCAGGGTTACTGCAGGGTTGATTTTTGGGAAGGGAGCCAGGCAGCCCATGCTATTCACCATGTTGGCAAGAATCAGAAACTCTTTCCGGTATTTGGCATTCATTCCAAGTTACCTTGTGGCCTTGTCAAATTTAGAAATGTGTATGCAGCAGTTTTTGCCAAAAAGGACACAGAGTAAAGGCTATTAGTGAATATTGTGCTACTTTTGCTTGTTCCAATTTACAGATGATGAATTATAATAAATAAGACTAAATAAGGGGGCGCCTGGGTGGCTCAGTTGGTTAAGCGACTGCCTTCGGCTCAGGTCATGATCCTGGAGTCCCGGGATCGAGTCCCGCATCGGGCTCCCTGCTCAGCAGGGAGTCTGCTTCTCCCTCTGAACCCTCCTCCCTCTCATGCTCTCTCTCTATCATTCCCTCTCTCTCTCAATAAATAAATAAAAATCTTAAAAAAAAAAAGACTAAATAAGAAAGGGAACACATTTGAGACCAGTAATTTTAACACTCAGTGTTTAAATTATATTCCTGTTGCTTACAAAATGCCGTGTATTTTTCTTTTTTTTTTTAAAAGATTTTATTTATTTCTTTGACAGAGAGAGACACAGCGAGAGAGGGAACACAAGCAGGGGGAGTGGGAGAGGGAGAAGCAGGCTCCCCGCCGAGCAGGGAGCCCGATGTGGGACTTGATCCCAGGACCCTGGGACCATGACCTGAGCCGAAGGCAGACGCTTAACGACTGAGCCACCCAGGCGCTCCTGCCGTGTTTTTTTTCTGTTTTATATTCCTACTCAGCTATTTATTATAATAAAAATATTATTTATTTTTAACATTTAGCTTAGCCAGAGAGAAACAGAAAATTTATTGTAATGTAATATATTTCCATACTTTATATTTCAGAACTACCTTACGTTTAATCCAACAAATAATAAAGAATTGGTGAGCAATAGTAAAACACAGGCAATATATTATTTGTGGGTAAGTAGAAATATTTTGATTTGTCTTAAATGTAGGGACAAGTATATATTCATTCCCTGAGTATAGATGTTTTGGTAATGTAACAATATAGTATCTACTTAGGAAGCAATAAATATGTATTAAAATGGTTTGATTTAATTATAGCACTTATTTTAGTCTCATTGGAAATTAGTATATTAAATCAGAAGCAGATAATTTAAATTTCATTTAATTTTTTAAAATAATGAAGCAAATATTTATTTGAATGTATTTAACAGGTTTAAAAAATACAGGGTTTTTCAGGACCTTGGCTTTTACCCCCTTTTAGAAAGGAATTAGCAAACAGATCAGTAATATATATATTGACACAGGGCAGAATCATGAGATTAAAAAAAAATCAGAGTTAAACATAAAACTACCATATGACCCAGCAATTCCTAAATCCAAAAGAATTTAAAACAGGCATTCAAACAAATACATACATACAAGTGTTCATAGCAGCAGTATTCTTTGCAATAACCAAAAGGTAGAAGCAAACCAAATGTCCACCAGCTAATGAATGCATAAACAAAATGTGGTCCATCCATACAATGAACTATGATTGAGCCGTAAAAAGGAACAAGGCACTGACAACCCACTACAACGTGGGTGAACCTCGTAAACATCATGGTAAATGAAAGAAGCCAGGCACGACAAGCCACATGCTGTATGATTCCATTGATATGAAATGTCCAGAATAGGAGGATCCATTAGACGAAGTGCAGAATGGTGGTTGTCGGGGGCTGGGGGAGGGGTACACATGACAGCTTAATGGAGAGGGGGCTTCCTTTTGGGGTGATGAAAATGCCCTGGAACTAGACAGAGGGGATGGTTGCACAGCATTATTAATGTACTAAATGTCCCTGAATTGTACACTTTAAAATGATTAATGGTTGGGGCACCTGGCTGTCTCTGTCGGCGGACCATGTGACTCTTGATCTTGGAGTTGTGAGTTCAGGCCCCACGTTGGGTGTAGAGATACTTAAAAGTAAAATCTTTATAATTACTTGAATTTAAATTTTAAAAAATGTAAAAAAAATAAAATCTTTTAAAAATAATAAAATGATTAATGGTTTAATTTTATGTTATGTGAATTTTACCTCAATTAAAAATGCAAAACAGGGCGCCTGGATGGCTCAGTTGGTTAAGCGACTGCCTTCGGCTCAGGTCATGATCCTGGAGTCCCGGGATCGAGTCCCGCATCAGGCTCCCTGCTCGGCAGGGAGTCTGCTTCTCCCTCTGACCCTCCTCCCTCTCATGCTCTCTGTCTCTCATTCTCTCTCTCTCAAATAAGTAAATCAAATCTTAAAAAAAAAATGCAAAACAAAAACACTGATTCAATCACTAATTTTCAGTGGTGGTCATTACTTCCCGTACTTATTGTAGCTTTAATGCCTTATAAATGTGGCCATCAGATTTGCATTTACTATCATTTAAAGTCAGTCATTTGTGGCGTTTTTTTACGTACTTGCTTTTCTTTCAGAATGTTGTTTTTTTTTTTTTAAGATTTTATTTATTTATTTGACAGAGAGAGACACAGCGAGAGAGGGAACACAAGCAGGGGGAGTGGGAGAGGGAGAAGCAGGCTTCCCGCCGAGCAGGGAGCCTGATGCGGGGTTTGATGTGGGGTTTGATGTGGGGCTCGATCCCAGGACCCCGGGATCATGACCTGAGTGGAAGGCAGACGCTTAACGACTGAGCCACCCAGGTGCCCCTCTTTCAGAATGTTTTCAGATGTTCCTGGAGGCAGCAGATTCTCTTATCTGTAGAGATTGCAAAGCTCTGACCCTGTTTATTATTTTTTTTTAATTTTTTTAAAAGATTTTATTTATTTATTTGACAGAGACAGAGACAGTGAGAGCAGGAACACAAGCAAGGGGAGTGGGAGAGGGAGAAGCAGGCTTCCCGCCGAGGAGGGAGCCTGATGTGGGACTCGATCCCAGGACCCTGGGATCATGACCTGAGCTGAAGGCAGATGCTTAACGACTGAGCCACCCAGGCGCCCTCTGACCCTGTTTAGATGCATTTGTTTTGATCTTGTGGTTATATTAGTTCTTTCTTTTGGAAACTAGGTCTTTTTGTAGTAGTGATTATTTTTTCTGTACTTATCAGTATGAAGAGGGAAATATACTTGCTTACAGTGCCCCACGTTTAACAGAAAAAGTGAGTATGCCTATTGCATTTTTATGTGTCAGATTTTGTGGAGAGTAAATAAGTATGTGTAAGCTTAGTCACTTTGGGCTACTCTTTGTATGTCTTGATATTAAACCGTTGGGAAATCATTTGACATTTTTACTTGGGTCCTTTACCATATTGAATTGTCAGCTGAAAATAATGGAACCATTGTTCAAAATAAAATATGGAAAAGAAAGTTGACTACCTTGAGAAAATATCCAAATAAGTGATGGCTTTACTAACCTATGTGTGCTTATGACAAAGAATGGAAGTTACTTTGGACTGATGTAATAAATAGTTGAACACGAGTGGCTCCTTTTTAGCCTACCCAGCTTTCAGAGTAACACAACACAATCTGGGTATTTAATGTTTCAGAGCCAGTAGAAAGGCGGTGAGGCAGGTGTTGGGGGAAACCATTTATCTTGCCTGCTTGCCTGGAGCGGTCGCATCTGAGGTGGACCTTGGGTCCTGTCTCCTGCAGCAACTTCTGCATTTGACACCCATGTAATCTGCCCTCAGTGAGCACCTTATGGTGTTTCTTCTGCTTCCTTTCTTCACTCTTGGTACGAGTTACAGAAATTTATTTTTAAGAGGGCATGCCAAAAAAAAGAAAAAAAAGATGAGATGGATGAATACAAAGAGAGATTATTCTGTCTGCAAACTCTTTCTCATAAATCAAAGTTATCAAACAATAAAGCCAATTCTCATTTATTCCTGGCAGTTTCGTTCCATAAAGTCTCCGCAGACCTCAGTTAGTGAATACAAGATCATTGCTCCTAGGAGAAATACAGGATTGGGTTCCTGCCAGCCTCGGGTCAGAACAGTTTCATCAACAGATCAATACATAACCTTGTTTTATGTGTGTTTTTGTTTGAAGACACTGTGTTTAATACATAATGTTGATTCATTAGCATTGATGCACAGCCAATAGCTCTGGAACGCATGCCTGAATGAAGTTTATCTAACTCAGGTATATTCTCCGGAAGGTACTTCATGGCCTTCTCACACTTAGGAATGCTAGACAGCATTTCAGTAGCATATTTGCGGCTAGTTTGAATACTGCCATCATCAACAGAAAGCACCTCAAAAACGTGAACAACATGGCACTAAACAGACCCTGAAAAGGATACTTGTTTACAGTCTGAGAGCTGAAACAAGAAGGCAGAGCATGTCCTCGCTCGACCTCGGCAGGAATGTGCGCACAGGGAAAGTCAAATTTTTGCCACTCTGCACGTGCACATGTCTGCAAACGATCATGAAAGTGCCATGAGGGTTGATTTTGGGTCATAAATAAATTTTAGGGAGTAGGTGAATTTGCAAATACAGAACACACAAACGAGGACTGACTTCAGCTTGAAATGAAAATGCCTTGTATGGAAGCAGAACAGCTCTTAGGAAGAACCTGATGCCCTTACTTGACCAGTTATTGTTTTACTAACCCTCTTGCGTTTAAGACAGAAGAGGTGAGCCTTAGGGTCTTCTCTGTGTGGTTAGAGAACCGGGCAGCAAACCTGCTGTATTGCATGACAAATGGAGGAGTTTCTTTGATTTATTCATTCATTAAACACTCCCTGAGGGGCTCCATTCACACTCTGGGTTCTTTCTACACTTGGTCTCCAAGACATTGCCTAAGAAAGATGGCCCTAGTGCCTTATTTTATGTAGCACAAATTTCTTGAGGAGTCAGGGGCATGTCTGTGTGTAGTACTTAATTTCTACTGATGGGAAAATGGTTTATGGGAAAAAAAGTTTATAATTACAAGACTGGGATAATTATTTTTGTGATATCTTACAACTGGAGCATGCTTTTGCTCATGATAGACATTAGTTTCATCAGTCTCTGAAACCTCAGTAAGAGAAATTGAACAGGTATAAACAAGTGGTTAAACACCTTTTCATTTGCTTTAAGCAAACAGTTTAATTAACCCAGTACACAACCCTTCACTTGCTCCTAGCAAACCTTCAGAGGTTCAGAATGGCCTGCACCACGGCAATCCACGGGGGAGAGATTTCTTAGTGATTGGTTTTTTAATTGTATCTTTTTCCTACTGTAAATCAATGTAATATTATAAAATATGCCATATTGACAAATGCTTTGTTTTATATTTATTACCACTGTAACTTATAATCTGTCTTTTGAAATGCAGACATTCAACAAGCTTGTGGGAAAATTCAGCCAGTCAGTCTTTCATTTGAATTTAACACAAATACTCTCAGCAACAATGGAAGGGAAGCTGGTTGTCTGGGACATACACCGCCCGCCATCCTCTGCCTCCGCCTTGGTGGGCTCTCCTCACATTAAACCTTGTAAATTGGTTCATTTGCAGAAAGAGGGCATCACTGTGCTCACTACAGTTGATAGGTAATTAACTTAATGAAAAAGTAGCTATCAGTGATTACCAAAGTATATTAAAAGCCTTTCGGATGTATACATATATTTTGTATATGCATAGAATATTTCTGGTGAAATTCATTATTAACTGGGAATGTTTGCTGCCTCTGAGGAAAAGAACAGAGAAGTAGGATCAAGGGTCAGGATGGATGCACCTCTTCTTGTAGTCTCATTTGTACTAATTGGTTTGCCTTTCTTTTTTTCTTTTAATCATGGGCATGCATTACTTTTAAAAATCCCTCTGTGTTGGTGAAACAAAAAGAAACTTGTTTTTTTCTTCCACACTAATTAGACTTATTTTGCACCCTAAATGTTACATACTTTAATTTTAAGAAAATAACGTGAATAGCTATATTGTTTTTTCTGATTACAAAATAACACCCATTATGAAAAGATGAAATACAACAGAACTTTATAAAGTTTACTGACTCAAGAGGCTGTGGGGGCTCAGAGAGGGTCATTAAAAGCCTTAGTCTCAGACAGAAAAGGGTTCACATCCCTTCCTTGCTGAGTGACTCGGGGCAAGGGATTTAACTTGGCTGAGCCTCCATTTTTCCATCTGCAAAATGGGCATGACCACACTCTCTCGCAGAGTGATTTTATGAGGATTTTGTGAGGCAAGCCATGTAAAACTCATAGTACCTTGTCTGGCACAGGGGAGCTCTAGATGAAATAGTCCTTATTAGTATGTTCGAGAAGTTCCCAAGTTCCCGCTGCCTAATGACAGGGACCATGCACATGTAGTTGGAGTCACTGTGCCATCTGCTTTCCAGAAGCCCTGCTTTCCTTTTCATTTCTTTTAATACAGGAAGCAGTGAGGTCCTGGCATGGCTTTACAAAGAGAAATGCAAATTGTCCTCACTCAGGGGTGTGGAAAAGACAATAGTAGAATTGCAGCTGATGATGAATCAACCTTTAATTAGTTGGGGGGGTTAGGGCCCAGTAAAGACTAAGGCCTGGGTTCCCCCTCTCTCCATGTTAAATAAAACCCAGCCAGGACCAGGGAGCCCATGAAGGGTCTTGAAAACACTTGGCCTGTTTTGCCGCTTCTGTCCAGCAGAGGGCAGTGAAAGATGCTGTAGCCAATTACTCTGCCTACCTGGCTTGCTTATTAATCGGAAACTGCATTTAATCACTTTGCATCTATAAGAGGAAATTCATCCCTCTATCCCCCCGTGATTACACTTATGTCAGAGGCTTAAAAAAAAAGCCCGTTTGGGTTGGATCCGAGGACTGGAAATAAAAGACATTTTGTCACGCGACACGGCCTTGGGCCGTGAGACTCGGCAGGGTTTTGCCGTGGCTCTGAGAGCAGTGCTTTCCTGTAAAGCTGCTTGCGTGCCGCTGCCTGGCTGTGTGGTTTCGGAGGGCGGGCAGATGGGCTCTGGTGTCCTCCGTGGGCTCCTGGCAGAGAATGCCAACACCGCCCACTGCCGCTGCACGGGGCTGATCTGGGAGGGCAGGGAGAGGAGAGCGAGAGTGTGTGCTCTGCGTTAGGTGCACCTGGATCCCCGCACAGACTGGCCACGGGCCCATAGCCTTGCCCCGTGTGAGTCGGTCCCGTGCGATATTTGGGACATACTCCTACTAAAAGATTACTCATTGCTTAACTGAAATTCAAATTTCCTGGGGCATCCTGTATTTTTATTTGCTAAATCTGGCAACCCCAGGCCTTGAGCAACTTCTCTGAGCCTCAGTTTCCCAGATGTAAAGCGGAACAACAGTAAAATCAGCCTCATAGGACAGTGTTAAGTGAAGTTTTTACAACACCTGGAGTCCAAGCCTGACATATAATTAGCTGTTCAGTAGTTGGTACCTACTACTGTTAGTTACCAAACGATGTTTTTTCCATTTCAGCTATATTGTCACAGGTGATATTAGAGGCAACATTAAGTTCTACGATCACACCCTGTCCATTGTTAACTGGTACAGCAACTTCCAACTGAGCTCCATAAGGACCCTGTCGTTTTCAAAGACCCCAGCAGCTCCGCCCACTGAAAAATCAAACTATCCTCCAGACTGCACTTTAAAAGGTGACCTTTTTATTGTAAGGTAAGTTGTTAATGAATCTAGAATTTGAATGGCCAACAAATGATTGATGTCCTCTCTGTTAGTCGGCACGCAGTGGAATGTTCACCGTGTTCCCGGGACATGAGCTAGAACAGGATTTCCTCGGAGGGCCTTTATGGGGCTCTCGGATGGATCTCCACAGCTGATTAGAGTCACTGTCCAATCGTTTTTTAAAATGAAGCATTATTTTCTTTCAAGAGTCTTTAGCAACTGGAAACTGGAAAGGGCTTATCCCTGAGCTCTAATCTCTGTTGTGTTTGGAGTCCTTTGCTGCAGCTTGGTGTCTTTTCTCGAAGCCGAGTTTGTCCTAGCGCTGCGGTTAAAGGCATTTGATAATTAACAGCCATAACGTTTCAAGACTGAATTATCTGTGAGTCTGCTTAATTACCCTTGCAGTGTTTGCAGGCACATCTGTATGTCTGCACCAAACTCCATATTTGCATACACAAATGAATATTTGCATGTGCAGATTAGCTAATTGTACAACTGACTGTCCATCTGCATACTTAATGACTCAATTTACATGTAGAAATGTGGGCTTTTTCACTTGCAAATGGAGGCTGTTGGGTATTGGTAGTGTATTTTTGGAGATGTTGGGTTAATAATGTCACTAAATTACAGACGACAGAGGCGTTTCCTGTGCAATTAGAAGCAGAATAGCTGACGTGCCCCATTCCCTGCAAACACTGATACTGTTGGGTCTCTCCTTGGCAAACAGGAATCTTATCATTGGAACATCTGATGCAACAGTGTACCACTTAACGACAGATGGGACCAAACTTGAGAAGTTATTCGTGGAGCCCAAGGATGCGATTTGTGCCATCTCCTGCCACCCATACCAACCCCTCATCGCCATTGGGAGTTTCTGTGGGATGATCAAAGTGTGGGATTACGAAAAGAAAAAGTACCTTTTCAGCAGGGTCTTTGAGAAGGGGCTTGGCGTCCAGAGTCTAACCTACAATCCTGAAGGTATTTTCATTTTATCAGCCTATCTTGGGCTCCAAGAAAAAACAGACCCAATGGCTGTGCCCTTGGAAGTTTACCTTGACCGCTGTCCCCACAGCCAGCTAGATGAGACACCTGCCCCTCGGGACCCTGCAGCACTCCGTGCCTAGTAGTGTCTGAGCACCCACCCCAGAGCCTCATGCTTTTCCGTTTATTTCTCCTGCCAGGGTCCCGGCCTGTCATGTTCATTGCTGTCTCCTCAGCACCTAGAACAGAGTCTGGCCCGAGAGTTGATGTTTTCTGAAGGAACGAAGTCCTTTTTAGAGCATTGTTCTCTGGCTTGTGATTTCAGGAGCCCTTCTTGGGGCTGGCTTCACTGAGGGGACAGTTTATATTCTTGATGCAATGTCCCTAGAAAACCAAATCCCAGAGCCTTTCAAATATTCCAGAACCAACGTGACTCATATCAGCTTCTCCCATGACTCCCAGTACATGGCAACTGCTGTGAGTGTTTCCACTGGGTGCTGTCCTGTGATCTAGCAATCTTGTTTACGACCAAAAGGGAGGGAGGGCTGGTGGAGGTGCGGGGAGGGGGGCGCAGTGGGGGGACGGGGAGTGACTGCTAGTGGATTTGGGGTTCTTTCTGGGGTCATGAAAATGCTCTAAAATTGTGGTGGTGAGCTCTGTGAATACGCTAAAAACCACGGGGTCGTACACTTTAAAGGTGTGAATTGTGTGCAGTGGGAAATGTATCTCCACAAAGCCACTGTAAAGAGAGGAGGGACTCTCGCTCGAAATGAGACCAGGCCTCAGGACTTGCAGACTGGGATTCTGCCATCCTGACCGCTCATTTTGGTGTGTTGGTTTCTGGACCCCTTCCTTGGCATCTGTTCTTTCATCTTTCCCTTTGATTTTTGACAAGATGACATTCACATTTATCTCAAAGCACCGTCTTCCCCCGGTGTTTTGGATTCTGTTCCTTCCCTCTGTGAATAGGGCTCCTAAGCTCAGTAAAGATTTTCTGAGACCTTTAGCCTCTCCCTTCCTGCCAGCTCTCCTGGTCTGCCGTGTGCTCATCTCGCCTTGATGTTGGCCGAGGGGAAAGAGCCACAGCTGCTTCCCACGTCCCTGCTGCTCCCCACGTCCCCACTACTCCCCCACCCCCGCCTCTGTGCCCGGCGCCTCCCCTGGTCTGTGTGCTCCACACCTTTACAGGCTCACCGCTGAACCTCCTCACCCCTGCGGCTCCTGACCCAGGTACCCCTTTCCCTTCCGGCTGCTCTCGCACACTCTCCCACCCGGCTCACTCTCAGCCGTGATACTTTTTAGAACTCATACCTTTTTCATTTTGTGTAGCTGGATACAGAGTAGGGAGGACAAAGGCAAAAAGAGTCAGGGTTTCAGTTTTCCACACAGAATGAGGTGGGGACTGGAAAGAAGCGTAAGACCACGGTGTCAGGTAGATGCTTTCTACCCCCCCCTTACCTTTGTGGGTTATCTACTTTTAACCTTAATTTTCTCATCTGTAAAATGGGTGTGATTTTTTTACTTGCTCAGATAGACTAAAATTTCTTTTTGGATAAAATATTCTAAAGGCAACATTAGTATGAAAAACATGGTGATGATTTTTAAGTTACAAAACTTAAAAAGGAATAACTTCTGCTCTTTGGCTCCTATTCAGGATGTACACTTTACTGTGGCTGTTTACATGGTGGTAGTCAAAAATGGACACCGGGTTTGGGAATATCTGGCAAGGCTTCGTTCTCATCGCAAAAGCATCCGCAGTCTCCTGTTTGGGGTTCATCTGGACAGCAATGAGCCGAGACTGCTGAGCCTCGGGAGAGACAGGCTCTTGGTGAGCTGTTCAGTGTCCATTTACCTTGCCACCGGGACAGTGGGTGTTTCATTCTTGTTGTGTCCCTGGCATCTGGCATAGAACCGGGCCCAACGTCTGGGTGTTTGTTGGAGAAAATGAACGTACAATGAGGTAGCATAAACCTTTCTGAGTCGACACTTGGTCTCAAGGATGTGCAAAAGCAATACTCCTTTCAGTAGAAAATGCACTTGGCATTTTGAATTTGGGTCTTGTCCCATCCTCTCTTGGATGCTGTGCAGCGGCCACAGTTCCCTGTCAGCCACGCAACCACGAGGCTGACCGCCACCTGCACCCATATGGCCCTTCTGTTTGTCACTCTCAGCACAGAATTCAATAAATTACACGGGATAGTCAACACTCTATTATAAAATAGGCTTCGTGGTGGGTGATTTCACCCAACTGTAGGCTCATGTCCGTGTTCTGAGCATGTTTAGGGTGGGCCAGGTTAGGCTATGGAGTTTGGTAGGTTAGGTGTATTAAATGCATTTTTGATCTATGGTATTTTCAACTTACAGTGGTTTATTGGAATGTAACCCCATCATGAGTCAAAGATCTGTATCTATCCATCTTAACTTTGTTCCTCGCTCCCTCTCTTTCTTCCATCCCCTTCTGTCCTGTATTATGGCCATCCAATCATCCATTCATTATGGGCTGGCCACCAAAACCTACCTATGGATGAAATTCAGCAAGCTGCTGATTTATGACTGTTAAGTGATGGGATTTAGATATGAATTAGTTCCTACCCTCAAGGAGTTCCCAAGATAATGGTAAGGGAGACGATATAACACAACTGTGAGAGTTCAGGTTTTGGAGTCTGTTTGGACCCAAATTTGAATTCTCACCCTACTACTTCTTAGCTGTGTGACCTTGGCAAGCCACTGAACCTCTCTGAACATCTGTTTTCTAATCTGTAAAATGGGCACAACAGCATGACTTGGCAGGGGAGTCAGGAGTGTTAAGTGGCGTCATGTTTTTAGAGCACTTAGCTCATTGTCTTTGCTCAGAAGGAATGCTCCATCATGGCAGCCTATGAGGAGTGAGGGTCTAGGCAAGTCTTCCCTTAGGAGGACCAATACTGTCTCTCCCAGAATAGGACTGTTGGCTGCCTTCCTTTGGCTTAGTCCTCATGTGTGTCTATCTGGCCTCCTCTGCAGATTGAATATAATCTTCTCAAGAGCTACAGAGACAACCTGGAGGTCCTGGACATTCACCGCACCGACCAGGGCAACTATCCCACCTGTATGGTCTGGTACCCACCACTCACCAAGGAACTCTTCCTGCTCATTTGCAACAGTGGCTACAAAGTGAAACTTTTTAATTCTACCACCAAAATGTGCAGGTAAGCATGAGGAGCTTCCCGCTGATGTGATACCTAGATCAGTTTCTCCGCCCCCGGCTTCTTTTAAGTCCCAACTTACAGACCTGAGAGCAGCTTGGCTACCTTTACTACCACTCACTATGCAGGGGAGGAAACCAAGGCACAGAAGAGTTGAATAATTCTCACCCAGGGTCACGTGGCTGGGAAGTTGCCAGAGGCAGGAGGCAAATCCAGAGCCCAGCACTGCACAGAGATGAGGGACCCAGAGCTCAGTGCCCGAGACCCAGGAAAGGAACCCGCAAAGTCGCTGATGCTTTATAAACTCTCCCATCTTTCTCTCGTGGATAAAAAAACATATATATTCACTTGAAAATTACCAATTGTGCGATTTTTTAAAAAAGATTTTATTATTTTTTTAAGGTAACGTCTATGCCCATTGTGGGGCTCAAACTGAATCCCGATATCAAGAATCACATGCTCGCCTGACTGAGCCAACCAGGTGCCCCTAATTGTGCGATTTTCTTACTCTGAGCTCCTAAGGGAGTTTTTAAGTTTACCTGATGGCATTCACGTGTTCACTCAGTATTTACCCAGCCTCTACCTGAGCCAGGTTCTGTCCGAGGTGCTGAAGGTAGGGATGCCAACGGCAGTGTTCCTGCCGCCATGGAATTTGCATCTTGGTAGGGGAGTGGAGTTTGTGGGAGAGGCTGGGCTGAGGTCCACATTTGAGGTCAGGAGCACATGGTACTTTGGAGTCATGAGACAAGAGAAGATTCCAGAAGGGAAAAGCAGATAGAAGAGTGGCCGAAGACCAAGCCCAGGGCATCCAAAGCTCCACATCTCTGAGCAGTAGCTCCTCTGTCCTGAAATAGGTCTACGTCTGTGGCTGGCCCTTGTGCTGCTAGGCCCGGGGCTCCCCGGGTTTGCTCCTTGTGATAGATACAGATCATGGTGCATCATCCTTGCACCGGGGCTCTGCATTCATCTTCAACAACCCACCCTCCCCCGCCCACCACCAAGTAGTATCCCACTGAGGTTCAGAGAGGTGACAGAACTTGCTGCTCAGGATGGGGCGGGACTTAACCCTTGAGCCTAGTTCTGGCTCTGCCCTCTACTTGGCACTACTGGGCCCAGGTGCAGCCCTGGCCGTGGCTCCTACCTAGTCAGCCCTAGAGGGCATCCCCTCTCCTCCTGTGGTTTGGCTGCCTTGTGGGTATGTCTGGAAAGAACAGAGGCACTGAGGCTGAGCAACAGGTGAGAATGCATTAGTGACCTCACCTGAGAGAAGGAAGTGCGAAGCCAACAGTAGCTGGCCCCACGCTTGAGGAAGACCGGTGTCATGAAATGTTTCTCAGAAAGATAGGTCCTCAAAGGCCAGGATCACCCAAGATCATCATCATAATCTTCTTCTCTTTTAAACATTTGTTTGCAGAAGGGTACAAGGAAAAATGATTGAGAAATGCCATGTCATGTGGCAGGAACAGGAGAGAAATCCAGCACAATTTTTTTTTTTTAATATTAAAACGCTAGGAAGGAGACATTTGAAAGAAATAGGTACAAAAGAAATTTTAGGAAGATCTCAGAATCTTCATACATCATCTTTAATGGATACAAACTTTTTGGATATTGAATATCCCACAGATATGCAAGTCCGGAGTAAATCTGAGTTCACTGAGCAGGTAGATTGGGGATGAAGGGCCCCAGGCTCCTAGTTCCCACTAACAGTTACTAAGCAGGGACTTCAGGCCACATAATTTGGAGTTTCTGCCCCTGACAATTGGAAATTAGTGTAAGGCATCTTTTTGTTTTTATTTTATTTTATTTTATTTTAAGATTTTTATTTATTTATTGAGAGAAAGAGAGAGAGCATGAGAGGGAGGAGGGTCAGAGGGAGAAGCAGATCCCCTGCTGAGCAGGGAGCCCGATGCAGGACTCGATCCTGGGACTCCAGGATCATGACCTGAGCCAAAGGCAGTCGCTTAACCAACTGAGCCACCCAGGCGCCCCTGTTTTTATTTTATTTTATTTTTTTAATTTATTTATTTATTTGAGAGAGACAGAGATAGCAACAGAGAGCATGAACAGGGAGGAGAGGAAGAGGCAGGTTCCCTGTTGAGCAGGGAGCCCAATGCGGGGCTCAATCCCAGGACCCCGGGATTATGACCTGAGCGAAAGGCAGATGCCCAACTGACTGAGCCACCCAGGCACCCCTTTTTATTTTTATTTTTAAATTTCTTCTATAAAGCATCTTTTAAAAAAATAATTTATCAAAGTGAAATTCAGTAACGTAAAACATAAAAACTAACCATTTTAGGGGTGCCTGGTTGGCTCAGTCAGTTAGGTGTCTGACTCTTGATTTCAGTTCAGGTCATGATCTTGGGGTTGTGGGATTGAACCCTGTGTGCAGCTCTCTGCACTCAGCGGGAGTCTGCTTGAGATTCTCTCTCTCCTTCTCTCTCTGCCCCTCCCCCCTCTCGTGCTCTCTCTCAAATAAAGAAAATCTTAAAAAAAACCTAACCATTTTAAAGTCAACAACTTAGTGGCATTTAATGCATTCACAATGTCATGCAACCAACACCTGTATCTAGTTCCAGAACATCTCCATCACTCCAAAGTAAAGCCCCTTGCATAAAGCATCTTTTAAGTTGTAGGAATAACAAAGCCTCATAACCACAGCTTACTTGGGAAGGAATTGCCTTTTCATGGGGCGGGACTTACCGAAAACAATTTTAAAATGCACTTAAAATATTTAGAACTTGAAAGGCAGTTGGCAGAAACAGGCCAATAAACCTATGAACAGACGTTCACTAGTGTATCAAAGATGCAAATGAAAACAAGACATCATTTTTCAGAAATCAGATTAGCAAAATAAAAATGATTGACAGGGCACAGTGTTGGCAAAGTATAAGTGGGTGGGCACTCACTGGCTGTTGGGGGGTTGTGGAAACTGGGGTGTCCTTTTGGGAGAGCTTTGCTAAATTGTATCATGTTGTCTGATGTCTAGGAATGTAGCCCACAGAAGTCCTCACACAGTATGCCAAGACATAAGTGAAAGGATGTCTTGCTTGAAAATATTTTCCAAAATTGGAAACAATCCAGATGTCCATTAATAGGGGATTAGTTAAATAATGACTTGTCACTACACTGAAACATGATGCTGCTTTTAGAAAAGAAAAAGTAAGCTCTCTGTGTAGTAACATGGAAATATCTCCAAGACGTAACACATTTTCCTATAAAATTACACTTCTATAATTTATCTACTTTTCACATAAAATTATAATTATATAGGTTAGAATATATAAAAGAAATTCTTGAGTCCTACACACCAAACTTACCCATGATTACTTGGGGATTAAAGGGTGCAGCAATGTGGGCGTCTAGGTAGATTATCTATCCTGTGCACGTCTAAATGTGTGAAATTGTTCACAATGAGTATGTGATACTTTTTCAATCAGAAGCAAAAGATACTAACTTTACAAAATTGTCAGATACATTTAACAAAACTAGGTGACAGTTACATGGCCCTCCTATGTGTCAGAAATTGTTCTGAGTGCTTTACGTATATTAACCGACTTACTGTACACCATGGTCTCAGGCGGAAGGCGTGTCATTGTCCCTATTTACTGGTGAGGAACCTGAGGCACTGGGATGCTGAATAGTTTGACTTCCCCCCCCTTTTTCTTATTTATAATTTAAATTAAGATATAATTTACATATCATAAAATTTACCCCTTTTCGGTGATTTTTACTATATTTGCAAAGTTGTGCAACCATCACCGCTGTCTAATTCAAGAGCATTTCCATCACCCCAAAAACAAGCCCCATTCCCTCCCTCCCTGTCCCCACTCCTGCCCCACCCCTGGCAACCACCACGCTGTGTTCTGTCTCTGTGGCTTTGTCTATTCTGGATATTTCATTTAAGTGGAATCATATAATATGTGATTTTTTGTGTCTGGCTTCTTTCACTCAGCAAGATTCTTCAGAGCTCGTCCATGGTATGGTGTGTGACAGTGTTTCGTTCCTTTTTTATGGCTGGATCATATTCCACTGTATAGACATACCCTATTTATCCACCTTTTGTCAGACATTTGGGTCGTCTCTGTTCGGGGCTATTCTTGTGAACATTTGTGTGTAGGTTTCCGCGCAGACACCCGTTTCATGTCTCTTGGGCAGAGACCTAGGAGTGGAATGACCAGGTCACGTGGTAACTCTGTTGAACCATTTGAGGAACTGCCAGACTGTTTCCCAAAGCAGCACCAGCAACAGCATGCGGTGGTTCCACGTTCCCCGCAGTCTTGACCCTACTCTTTAAGGGTCCGAGCCAGGATTCAAACCAGAGTCTGCCCCTAGCCATGCTCTCGCTGCCTCTGTCCACTTGGCGATACTCGGGGAAGGTCCTCAGACATCCCTACTCAGGGTGACCTGCAGCTAGCTGGTGCATGATCCCTCAGGTGGCCATTTAGCATTTCTGACACCTCACCTAAGTCTCCATGTGTATGAACTTGACTGTGGATCACCCACCTGACCCCACCCCTCCGTGGCACCCTCACAGCTGGCCCCGGCCCCCTTGCTCAGCTCACCGCCCTCCCCCTCCTGCTGCTGCCCCCTTTCGTTTTCTTCACTTTTCCAACAACAGTCCACTTCCCATGCCCTTGCGCCACCTGTGTTTGCTGCCTGTTGTCTGTCACCTCCATATTCTCTAGCTTTCCAACTCACCACTGCAGACCCAGCTCACATGTTTCCTTCCTCAGGGCAGTCTCTGAGCCCTGAACTCGCTTGTTCCTACACCTCTCCCTTCAGTGCTTCCACGTCTGTCATCTCTTGTCAGGCTGTGAGCTCAGTGCAGTGACCAAATCTCACTCACGTCTGTGTCCCGAGCACCTCACACAGTGCCTGGCACAGAAGGTCCTTAAAAAAGACTGCTTAATGGATTTGCGCCTCATTTAGTCAGTGCACACACCTGGAGTGTGTACTGTCCCCACCAGTCATGGGCTGGGTACAGGGGACACAGGAAGAAAACACATCTAAACCATGAGAGGCTTATATAAAAATATGGTAATGGTTACACAGGAGCAGATCCAGCTTTTGTGGGATGTGAAGCGTATTCAATTTTGTGGGCCCTGTTAAAAAAAAAAAAGGACGGGCGCCTGGGTGGCTCAGTCGTTAAGCGTCTGCCTTCGGCTCAGGTCATGATCCCGGAGTCCCGGGATCGAGTCCCACATCGGGCTCCCTGCTTGGCGGGAAGCCTGCTTCTCCCTCTCCCACTCCCCCTGCTTGTGTTCCTGCTCTCGCTATCTCTCTCTCTGTCAAATAAATAAAATATTTAAACAAAAAAAAAGGATACGTAATTAAGAATAAAACACAGCAGGACTCCCTGAGGCCTCAGAAGGTACCTGTGTGAGCCGGGGGTCCTGAAATTCCTGTTTTGCTCGCTTCAGGGAAAGTACTGCTCTGGGCTTAGGGTAATGTGCCGTAACCTCACCTCGGATCGGATTCCTACCAGAGTCTGAGTTAAAGAAGTCTGACCATTGCTGGGGCACCATTCATCACAATTATTTTCCCAGACAGTGCTTGGGAAGTTTGCGTGTTGCGCTTGTAGACCTGTATGTCAGGGGTCTCGAGCCACGGACAGCACCTCATTCTGATCTCTTGGCCTGCCACTGGGGAAGGGGTGTCTTCCTACATCCTGGCAACGCATGTCACTTCCTCACCGCGTTTTCCTCGTCCCTTGTTCCTGTACACATTCTTGAGGCATAATGTTCCCTTCACTCAGCTGTCAAGGAGGAAACTCAGAGCCTCCACCACGAAAGCATTCTTCACAATCAGACTTTCCCTGGAGCATTTACTGTTTGGAGCTGTTGCCTCTTATTTACGGCAGCTGTTAGCAGCGGTTGAGAGGGAGGTTCTTCGCTGAGTGACAGGACAAGAAATTGGGAATGCAAAATGTGTATGATCTACGATCAGATTTGTGGCATTCAAAAAAAAATGTTTCTTTTTTTTTTTCTCATGCAGAAAGACACTTCTTGGGCCGGTTTTTGGGTCTCCCATTGAGCAGATACAAATCCTCCCAGTGAAAACCGCCTTGGAACTGCAGAAACGCTACATGGTGTTTATTAACAGAGACAAGGTAGCAGCCTTTGCTCTCTGCCTGGGGAGATGACTCTCTGGGGTTGGATTAGCAGTCAGGCCCAAGTAGAATCAGACTCCGGGATGCCAGGTGTCACAGCCAAGCCCAGCTCCTTCATCTCGGTCAACAGTGATACTGAAAATTGCCATAAATTAGTGGAAATTGGGTCTTAGTAAGCATTTCTGAGCAGTTATTGCATTTTCTGTACTCCCATAAAGACATGTGGTCACCAAAGGATTTTTTTCTTTCCAATTTATTTACATGGAAAAATCTTATAAAGACATGCAAACTAGCTACACTTAGTTCTACGTTTAATAATCTATTGAGGGGTGCCTGGGTGGCTCAGTCGGTTGGGGGTCTGCCTTCAGCTCAGGTCATGATCCCAGGGTCCTGGAATCGAGTCCCACATCAGACTCTCTGCTCAGCAGGGAGCCTGCTTCTCCCTCTCCCTCTGCCTGCATCTCTCTGTCAAATAAATAAATAAAATCTTTAAAAAAAAATAATCTATTGAAAAGCATAAAATCGTAGGATTCCAGAATTATTCTGGAAAACCTTGGACGTCTGACTATGAAGACGGGTAAAAGCTTCCTTCCTGTGTCTCTACTGCAACCTGGCGTCTCTCTCCTAAGGGACCAGCCCGCAGGGGTCAGTGTGTGTGTGAACCTCTAACCCCATGAAACGGGGGCTCTCACACACTGAGGTGGTTACAGATACGCAGGTCCTTCCGGTAAACGGCACTGGAGATGACCCGTGAATGTGCCGGGCCCGAGCCTGGGGCCCAGTTATCTGAATCTGAATTTTCAGTGACATATTCCTCTCTAGGTTGGACTTCAGATCTTACCAGTTGATGGCAATCCACACAAGACATCCGCTGTTATATGCCACCCCAACGGGGTGGCGGGAATGGCCCTTTCCTACGATGGCTGCTATGCCTTCACAGCTGGAGGACAGGATCGATCGGTGGTGCAGTGGGAAATCAACTTAAGGTACGTGATCAGGCGAGAAGCTCAGCCCCACAAGGCAGGTGTCAGGAGTAGACCCTCGTTTTTTAACCAGCCACGCAGACAGGTGTGAAGCCCTTACTTCAGGCCTGGCCCTCGGGTTGTTCCCCATGACATCTGTCTATATGCGTGTGCGGACAAAAGATTACTGTTTTGCTTCAGGGACCAGTGGTATTTGCAGCGAAGGCAGTGTGATTCTACCTTGTTCACACGCGGCCCCTGAAATGCTTCCCACTCTGTCATCCGCAAATTCACACCAGCTAGAAAGATCTTGCCCAAATCTCCGAAGCCTGTGTAACAGCAATAGTGAGAGTATTATTTGAAACGTGTTTCCAGCCTGCTCTTCTCACCCACCTGCCCTGAGCTGAGACTCTGCCTTGGGTGAGGCTGGAGGGGTCCAGGGTTGAGTATCACAGAGTACTCGGACTTTGAGGTCAAAGAGACCTGGGTTTGGATGTGGAGCCTCCTTTCTGCTGGCTGTGAGACCTAGGGACTGTTTCTTAACATCTCTGACCTTTAGAGTCCTTGTCTGTGAAATGGGGGGAAAGGAGGATAATAATAGGGACTTTTATAGGATCCTTGTAAGGATTGAATAGAGCAGAGCTTGGGGCTCAATACATTAACTATTTCCTCTCTTCTATTCTTTATGAAGGCCTTGCTAAAGAGCCTTACTAAAAAGGGCAAGTACTGCAGCATCCCCTCATCCACCCAAACTCCGTGAGCTGCCACAGGGCAGAGCCGGTTCCCATCCCTGAGCACCTTCTCCCAGCGCCTGCCTCTCAGATAGCCTCCTGCCTGGCAGCGTCACACTCAAAAGCTGGGTACAGACAGCTCGGAGGCACCTTCCTTCCTAAAGAATCCTTCCTTCCTTCGATTCATGTGCCAAGTGCACATCTCTCTTTTATGGCAGACATCGAAGCTTCTTCTCTTAACCTGAATAGGAGCAGAACTAACCAGGTGAATCTGCTTTGGATCCATACTTGTTTCAGGTCGCAGTTGCAACTCTGACCTTCGCCTCTGCCTTCAGCTAAGAGAGCAGATTTTGGGAATTTGGGAATTTAGAAGCTGGAGGTGAGCTCGCACATTGAAAAGCACTTCCCGATCGTGTGCCCAGAACAAGCTGCTTGATTCCTTGACAGCTAGTCTGTCACCTGGAACGGTGGGAGCGACACCCTGGGGACAGAACAAAATCTCCTCCTTTTCATTTTTGTCCTCTTCTCCATAATCATGGTAGAGATTAAAGGAAAAAAAAAAAAAGGCACCCGCTTTCCAATGGCTTTCCTGGGCCTGGCCAGAGTCCAGGCTTCTGAGAATTTCAATTTAATCTGTTGTGGGGACAAAGGATCATTATAAACTAATTAGCACTTCATTGCTGCTTCTGGTGTCTTAATATGTTCAGTGCTTCACTAATGGGAAGAAATGTAACAACCCCAAACAAGTAAACAAACACAATTCCCTGCTGGTCTACCGACTGAGTCAGAGGGTGAAATTAAGATGCTGCGTCCTCTCACGTGCCCACGATTTTTGTCGGGGTGCTCCTGGGCCCAGATACTGTCCCTGCAGCACGTCGATCTTCTCCCGGGTGCACCCCTCCCTCCCTGGCATCTTCTCCTAGGGTTCAGTCCACACACACTGGGCCTTTGCCCCGTCTTTGCTGGCATGCCCCCCTCTGCTCCCCTTGTCCTGCACCTGTTTTTAAATCTGTTACTTTTTGATGCTCGACCTCACACCCACCTCTAGTCCTGCTGTCGTGCTCAGAGGACAGCAGAAATCCCCGATTCAAATACCACCTTTCCTGCCTGCTTGCGGCATGACCTGAGGCTAGTCCCTTAACTTCTGAGTCTCAGTTTCTCCATCTGTTAAATGGGAATATCATCACCGTTTTGAGAGTAATGGTTACTACCATTGCTGTTCCTCCCCCTGCCTCCTCCCCTGGGGAGCATTTGCGAACAGTTACTATTTGCTGAGCATTTACCATGTGTTACAGCACTCGCTGCTTCTCCTGATTGAGCTCATTTCCCAGAAGTACTGTCTGTGTGTCTTGGCACACAGTAGGTTTTCAATAAATGTGCTTCCCCTTTGTGCCCTGATGACGCCCTTTTTTTGTTGCAAGCATAAGGAACCCAGCTTAAGCACAAAGGGGAATTCATGAGACGGTCATGGACACCTCAGGTCCACCCTGCAGGAAGAGCAGGGACGGCGTGCCCTCAGCATTTGCTCTCTGCCTGGCTCTGCTGTTGGCTTCGTTCTCAGTACAGCTGGGTTTCATTGCCCAGCACGACCATGTCCACTGACAGTCCTCAGATTCCCACAAGCTGGAGCTCTGACCACAGGGACAGTGGGTCTCTTTCCCTAGCTCTCGTTGGACCGCCCCAGTCCTGTTCCTCCAGCTCTCTTGGGTCTGTTGACAGTGGCCAGGAAGCAGGAGACGTATGACAGTCCTGACCACCAGAGAGCTGCTCCCAGGGCATTCGGAGCTCCTGTGAGTCGCCTCCAGACACTCCTGGTAGTGACAGTCTCCTCTGCATCACTTCTGGCCTTCACCTGGCCCTGTTCCAGAGCCACGTGGCTAAAAGTGGCCTCCCACTGAGCCTGTTGGGATTGGGCCTGGGCAAGGCCTGGAGGCCACAGAGGGGGAGTCCTCTCAGCTAGACACCTGCCTCGATGGCCAATATCAGAGCTGGGGGAGGCCTGGGCCCTGCTGCAGAGGGGCCTCAGACCCACCTGGAGAACACACCGGCCCCTCCCCAGGCCCCAATGCAGCCTGCTTATGCAGGGCCTGACAAGACGGCCAAGACGGTTTTGTGGCTGACTCTTTGAAGAGAGGCATAGGTGTATATTAATACCCAGTTCAACAGAAAAGAATAACCCTAACTACCTTGTACCGAGCCTTCTCTGGGCCAGGCCCTGTGCTCACTGCTTTCCGTGCATTGTCCGATTTCATCTCATAGCCATTCTGTGAGGCAGGGACTATTGGTATCCCCACGTGGTATCCCCATGTGTCTGGAGATAGCTCCCAGGTGTTAAAGGACCCTCCCATGCACTGGAGTATGTGGTGGGGCTGGGATTCATATCCGGCTCTTTCTGATTCAAGAGCACACCTTGACAAACACTCATTACAGGAGAAGAAGAGAGGGCTTTGTGTCCAGCCCTTTATGTGGCTTCACTCCATTTCCACAGCCACCCGTGAGGCAGACCTGTAATTATTCCCATTCTACAGATGGGGAAACTGGGGCTCAGGGAGGTTATCGCCCGTGATCATATTGCTTACAGGTGGCAGAGCCAAGACTCACACGCATGTCCTTCCGACTCCAGATTCTGGATACTTAACAACTTCCCCACTGTGGTCTACACTGAAGTGTGTTTTAATAACCTCATGAAGAGGCTAATGGCCTGATTAGCCCAAATCCAGTTAGTGGATTATTATGATGATTTCGTATTATGTGTATTTTGTATGGGGCAAAGTCAGTCTCCTACAAAAAGTAGGTTTTCTTACCATTTACAGTGCCTATTTTTAGAAAGCCTGATCCCGTGTTAGAGAGCAGAGGGTTATTTTTATCTGACTGGCATGGGTCCCTGGTGGCCTCCCGAGTTTTTATGGAAGCAATTAGTGTTGGCGTCGTACCTGCACTTATCCCGGATTTTGGCTCTGGTCATATGCAGATCTCACGTTTCGGGCGAAGCTGCTCTGCTGGGGAGGACTGTGGGTTCAGCACCAGGAGCCCTCCCTCCCTCCCTCCCTCAGGAGAGCCGTGTTCCCCAAAGACTGCAGACAGATTGCCAAGTGCCTGCCCTGTCATCAGCGAGAGAGTGTCACTGTCATTAGGGCGGGTGCCCTGCACCACCAGATTCCACATGGAAATGGAATTTTTCGTTTTCAGCTTCATTTTCGAGGGAATTTTGCTAACAGGTTTCTAGAGCCCCTGACTGAATGGGCACTGTGATACCCTGCAGAAGTCCGTGGGGCCAGGCGTGAGCGCCTTCTAACGGTGATGTTTCTGTTGCTCTTTTAGTGCTCTGGAGGCAGCAGTTTCTCTTGGGGGCGAAGACTTGACCCCGTTCTATGGTCTGGTGCCTGGTGGCAGGGAAGGAAAATTCTACAGGGTAATTGTCCTCAGAGTAAACACTTGCTGGTAACATCTAGTTAAGTTCGTAAAAGAGATGTGCCTGGGGTGAACCTTCTCGCTTTTTTCCAAAGCTCTTTTTCCCACTGAGCTCAAAAATGTACTTTCTAGAAAATGTCCTTGGAGTCCTAATGGATGCTTCAGACTGAAGCCAAAATGTGTGTTGTGTTTCCATTTTATTTCCACGTAGGAGCTGGAAGACTATTTTTACTATTCTCAGCTCCGTAGTCAAGGTATTGATACAATGGAGACCAGGAAGGTGTCGGAACACATTTGCCTGTCAGAGCTTCCTTTTGTCATGAGAGCAATTGGCTTTTACCCATCGGAAGAAAAGGTAGGTAGAAGGAAAACAAGAACAGCAGTGGGATCTGTTATTTATGAAAATGACCTCTGGGGGCAATAATTATAGGTCAAGGTAAAAATTTAACGTTATTCTCACATAAATGGATCAGAAAGAATGTTCTGGGCATACCAGACACGCTCCTTAGAAACAGACGTACCATAAAGATATACCTGAAAGTCTTATTCCTTACCGGTAAGAGCTTGGTTTTGGAATTAGACAGACTGGCCTTCACTGAGCTCAAAGAGGTGACGCCTGTGAAGCCCTGGGGTGCAAGCCCAGGAGCATAGGGAAGGCCCAGTGAATGGTCATTATCGGGGTGATTTTCAGTGCTTAGTTGCTGTTCACTGGCCTGTTGTGAATGGGGCACCGCTGGGAGGTGGGTGTTCATCCTGGGCTGTGGGGCTCAGAAGAAGCCCTCGGTCCTAATGACCCTCACAAAACATGCCCAGCTGTAAGGGGCTCCCAGGGACCATAAGCACTACAGGGAAAATGGTCTTCCTAGAGACCATGGTTCACAATGCAATTGACTGGGTTTTCCTTCAGATGCGAAATGTTTAACACATTTTCATTGTGGAAAGTTTGGAAAAGGTACACAAGTGAAATGAAGAACATAATTACTTATAATCCCACTACACAGATGTAACAGTTATATAAAATTTTAAAAAACTAATTGGTACCATGTTGAATATGTATTTTTATCCTATATTTCCACTTGATGTTATAACCATTTTGCATTTATTAATAATTCTCTGAAAACATGATTTTTTAAAAAGATTATTTATTTGAAAGAGAGAGCAGAGCAAGAGAGAGAGAGCATGAGTTGGGGGGGGGCACAGGAAGAAACAGGCTCCCCACCGTGTAGGGAGCCTGACTCGGGGCTCAATCCCAAGACCCTGGCATCATGACCTGTGCTGAAGTCAGACGCTTAACCAACTGAGCCACCTAGGTGCCCCCGAAAACATGATTTTTAAAGGACATATCTTAATTTTATAACTTTTTCTGATTTAGAAAATAGAACTATAAAACAGAAATAGAAATTACTCAGAGATAATCACTGTTAACATTTTGGTGGACTTCCTTCTATTGTTTTATATATGGATATAGATACATCTATATTTTTAAATAAAAAATTGGCATTATATGGCATACATGTGTATATGTCCATGTATATCAACAGTTTACAGAGTATATGTATATATATGCACATAGATGTATGGATTTGTGCGTGTATATAGGTACATGTGTGTATACGTGTTTATATGTATATATTTATACCAACATTCTCAGTAACTATTGTTTTGTGAGCATGGTGGTAAAAATACACTTTTTTCCCCAGCTTTATTAAGATATAATTGACATACAACCTTATATAGTTTAAGGTGTATGGTGTAGTGATTTTATATATGTATTGTTGCAAAATGATTACCACAATAAGGTTAGTTAACATATCCATCATCTCACATAGTTAAAATTTTTTGTGTGTGGTGAGAACTTTTATTTATTTTTCTTTTTTCAAGTTTTTATTTAAATTCTAGTTAGTTAACATATAGTATAATATGGGCTTCAGGAGTAGAATTCAGTGATTCATCACTTAGATACAACACCAGTGCTCATCACAATAGATGCCCTCCTTGATGCCCATCACCTGTCTAGTGCATCCCCCACCCACCTCTCTCCAGCAACCCTCAGTTTGTTCTCTGTTGTTAAGAGTCTCTTATGGTTTATTTCCCTCTCTCTCTCTCTCTCTTTTTTTCCTTCCCATATGTTCATCTGTTTTGTTTCTTTGACATATGAGTGAGATCATAAGGTATTTGTCTTTCTCTGATTGACTTATTTCACTTAGCATAGTATACTGTAACTCCATCCATGTCATTGCAAATGGCAAGATTTCATTCTTTTTGATGGTTGAGTTATATTCCATTGTGTATACGTACCGTATCTTCTTTATCCATTAGTCAGTCAATGGACATTTGGGCTCTTGGTGAGAACTTCTACAATCTACCTTCTAGCAGCTTTCAAATATACAATACAGTATTGTTAACTATAGTCACCACGCTGTACCTAATATTCTCCAGGACTTTTTCATCTTGTAACTGGAAGTTTGTACCCTGGCAACCACTGTCTGTTTTCTGTTTCTGAGTTTGGGGGTTTTTTTCGATTCCACATACATGTCTTTCTTTCTCTGACTTATTTCACTTAGCGTGATACCCTCAAGTTTCCTTCATGTTGTCCTAAGTGGCAGGATTTCTTTCTTTTTTTGGCTGCATAATACTCCGTTATATAAACATAAGTCACATTTTCTGTATTTATTCCCACCAACACTGCATGAGGGTCCCTTTTTCCCCACATCCTCACCAGCACTTACCTCTTGCCTTTTTTTTTTTTAAAGATTTTATTTATTTATTTGAGAGAGAGAATGAGAGAGAGAGAGAGCATGAGAGGGGAGAAGGTCAGAGGGAGAAGCAGATTCCCTGCTGAGCAGGGAGCCCGACGCGGGACTCGATCCCGGGACTCCAGGATTACGACCTGAGCCGAAGGCAGTCGCTTAACCAACTGAGCCACCCAGGCTCCCTACCTCTTGCCTTTGAGGAGAGCAGTTCTGACCAGTGGGAGGCGAGAGTTCATTACAACTTTGACTTGCATTTCCCAGAAGATGAGTCATGCTGAGTACCTTTTCACGTTTGACTATCTTTTTTGGGAAAATGCTTATTCAGGTCTTTGGCCCAGTTTTAAATTGTTTTTTTGTTTTTGTTTTTTGCTATTGGGTTGTATTAGTTCCCTATATATTTTAGATAGTAACCCCTTATCAGATATGTGGTTTGCAAAAAAAATTTTTTTAAAGATTTTATTTATTTATTTGTCAGATTGAGAGAGAGAGAGCACAAGCCGGGGGAGCGGCAGGCAGAGGGAGAAGCAGGTTCCCGCTGAGCAGGGAGCCCGATGTGGGGCTCGATCCCAGGACTCCAGGACCATGACCTGAGCCGAAGGCAGACACTCAACTGACTGAGCCACCCAGCCACCCCGCAAATATCTTCTCTCATTCCATAAGTCACCTTTTCATTTTGTTAATTCCCTATCGCTGTGCAGAAGCTTTTCGGTTTGATGTAGATGACATGCTTTCACGGGCTCTGTACTTAATTGAACCAGCCCCCAGCTGACAGACACACAGATTGTCTGAAGTGTTTGTCTGTCTGAGACATGGCTGTGAGGAGCATCTTTGTGTCTAGTTTTTGCATACTCCTCTGATTATTTTCCAGTCTCCGAGTCCTAGAAATAGAATTACTGGGTCAGAGAATAGGAACTTCAAGGCTCCGCTGCCAAACAGCTTTCCCAAAATGTCACATTTCGCAGGCCACCATCAGGCATACAGAAGGCCTGAAACCCAGTGGAGCTGTGGTACCCACATTGCTGGCTGGCTGGCTGCATTTTAGGGAAGTAAGCTGTGGTCCCCGTTATTTCTCCTGGCCCACCTGGAACCACCTGTTTTTGTGTACTCTGGGTATGACCGGAAGGTGACTTTTATTCTCCAAATAGCATCTGGAAAAATGAGCTCTGAGAGCCCAGAGACCCATGCAGAGACTTGAATGAGTACCTTAAGCACAGCGGGTATTCTAAGCTCCTCAAAAGGTCTTTTGACCAATGTACATTTTGTAAAAGTACATGCCCAGAAATGGAAGCGACTATGGAGAAAGTTTGTGCAACCCACATAAAAGTGTTCCTGAGAGCTGTATTTCCAAAGCATGTTCCTTAGAGCGACCAGCTCCCAAACCAGCAAACTACATCAGAAGTACCTGGAGCACTTACTAAAAGAACAGATTCCTGGGCCCATCCTGGACCAAGCCAGTCAGAATATCCAAGTAGGGGGCCTGGGAGTCTGCATTTTCCCCCCTCCCCGGGTTGCAAACCCCTGCCTTGGAACAGTGGCCCCATGAGGTATTTACTAGGGCCACTAATGCTCAAGGAAGGATTAGACAAAGAGAAATAGGATTATTAGTCAGGACTCTCCTTTGGTTACAGGTTACCGAAACCTAATGCAAACTAGTTTTTGGTTCACAGGATTTCAAGTCTAGAGATAGAGGTAATGCCCAGTATGACCTAATCTAGGCCCTCACGCTGCTGCCAGGAAGCGTCCTTCTCCCCGAGTCTCTCCTTCCTCCCTGTTGCCTTCCTTCTCAGTGGATCCCTGGGCGCATGTTCGGCAGGCACAACTCCAGAGCCCCGGTCACTGCCCCCAACCTCCTCGCCATTGTCCTCGGGGCAGCTGCTACTCAGGTTGGCCACGCCTGGATGCTCCCATGCTCCCCCCGGAATCAGAGGCAGGGTCAGCCACCTTGACCCTGAGGACTCTGGGGCAGCAGGAGTGGGCTCCAGATGGAATTCTGCATAGGGAGAAAATGGGTCCACGATTCTGAGGCTTTAGGAGGTCACTGGACATTGGGAGTCTTGAAGTAAGGTGTATACATTTGGGACAACATCCCCCCAACTGGACTGATTGTGGAAACCTCTTTCTCATTTCACTTTGGAAATATTGCTTTGACTTCTCACCAGCATTCCCCGCCCCCCACTGCATTTCATCTTCTTTATTGTGTCTCTAGTTCATCTTCTCCTTTTTTTCCCCAAACATTGATCTTAAGTTAATCCCCAGCTTCTTGGGGTGACTGGCGGGCCTAACTTCCAGACTGAGGAAGGGGAAAAAAGCCTATGTTGGTAAGAAGTGCAGGGACCCAGAACCTGTCTGATCTAGCTGCTCCCTCGGCAAGTCATTTCAACTATAGTCGGGGTTCCCGTGACCTCATTTATCAGAGGAGGCTGGCAGCAGCTCACACCTCCAGCGATGTCACGAGGGTCCAAGGAGCACCCCACCTCGCGTCACACAGAGTCGGTACTTAGTAGCCCCTCTTCTCACTTTAGTATTTCCTGTCAGAGGTGATGAGACGGCCCCTCTTCTACTTTATTTAACTTTTTATCTTGGAAAATTCCAAACATGGACA